AGTGATGGATCAGAGGATCTGGAAATGAAGTAAAATTGTAGAAAAAATATTTACACAAAGATGAATTAGTAGAAATAAATTAAATAAATGTTTTTGCTGTTGCAGGTTCCTGATTCTCCTGATCTGGCGCTCAAAGTGGTTCTCATTAAAGCTGCAGAACTTAGCAGCAGTCAGCATGTCGTAGAAAACTGGCAGTAAATGTTAACCGTTATTAATCCCTTCATTCGTGCTCTCTGAAGTTATTTATGCAAACAGTTGATGTTTAGAGCAGCGTAAAGAAGTGAAGAGCTGCTCCAGTCTCAGGATGTTTCCCTCTGATAGTCGGCTAGATTCGGTTAAAAATTCATCATCTGTTCCATCTCCAGCTGAAGTGGTTCTCTTTCTCTGTTCTGAGTCAAACCAACCAAACCCTTTGAGCAACCTGTTCTCCCCCTCGCCTGTGGGGGCGCTGCACCAAGAACCACTGAAAGAAACGACACAAAAACCTGTTATGAAGACACTGAGAGCAACAAAATGTTATCAGAAATGGAGAGGCTTCAGATTTTAGATGTTGGAGCATTTCTGTCTGAAAACCACAAGATATTTTTTCTGGTAGTGCGACGCTAACGCTTTGTTTTGGTTGTATTTACCCAGAATTCCCTGGTCCTGCTTTGGTCAGCTTGGCATTGACATTTGCATCCATTAAGCATCCTGGCTGAGTCCAGCTGCAGGAAAACATGTTTACACCTGATGATGATGATGATGATGATGATGTTGTCAGGTATTTGTCCTCAAAAGGTTCAACCTTTAACTACTGCTTGGCTCAAGGGCGGCGGCAGGTTCTCTGTTCACACAGCATCTGCAGCTGGTTCTGGTTTGGGTTCTGCAGCAGGTTCTGGTTCTGGTTTTGCAGGTGGTTCTGGTTTGGGTTCTGCAGCTGGTTCTGGTCCTGGGTTTTGCAGGTGGTTCTGGTTTGGGTTTGTTGGTTCTGGTTCTGGTTTTGCAGGTGGTTCTGGTTTGGGTTCTGCAGCTGGTTCTGGTTCTGGTTTTGCAGGTGGTTCTGGTTTGGGTTTGTTGGTTCTGGTTCTGGTTTTGCAGGTGGTTCTGGTTTGGGTTCTGCAGCTGGTTCTGGTCCTGGTTTTGCAGGTGGTTCTGGTTTGGGTTTGTTGGTTCTGGTTCTGGTTTTGCAGGTGGTTCTGGTTTGGGTTCTGCAGCTGGTTCTGGTTCTGGTTTTGCAGGTGGTTCTGGTTTGGGTTCTGCAGCTGGTTCCGGTTGTGGTTTTGCAGGTGGTTCTGGTTTGGGTTCTGCAGCAGGTTCTGGTTCTGGTTTTGCAGGTGGTTCTGGTTTGGGTTCTGCAGCTGGTTCTGGTTGTGGTTTTGCAGGTGGTTCTGGTTTGGGTTCTGCAGCTGGTTCTGGTTGTGGTTTTGCAGGTGGTTCTGGTTTGGGTTCTGCAGCTGGTTCTGGTTGTGGTTGAAGGGGAACCTGGAGGAAACCCTCTTATCTCATCTCTGCTCTGATTTCTCTTCATTGCTCCGTGTTGATTCTTGAAGCCGGTTTCTGTTCAAACTGGCGGACCTTATTTATTCATTCCCTCTGTCCAGCAGCTGTTAGACTTCCTGGAGAACCTTTGACCTCTAACTGGGCCTGTTGCAATAAGCAATAAATCAATTAAATTAAAAATAGTTCTATAATCTCTTTTTCTCTTTCTAACTGGATGATAAAAATCTTCAGTCTGATGTTTTGGTCTCAACTCATCCACTTTTGAAAGATAGTTTTATTTAGCGAAACTTCAGAATTATTTTATTTGTTGTTTCTGCTGTTTTCCTTATTTATTTTGGAAATTTAAAGTGTCTTCCACTTGTAAATATCAGATAGGTAATGCATTTAGGACCGCATGCCCAGGCAGCCGGGATAATTAGTGAAAATCAGATGAGTCCAGTCAGGTTGTTGATGTGGATAACTGCAGGCTGAACACGGCCCATCTGCATCCTGTCAGGTAGACGAGTCGTCTCTGCAGCTGAGCGTCATCAGACTGAAGAGCTGCAGGTTGGCTCAGAGCGTGCTCTGAATGCAGAAAGCTCCAGCTGTGTATGTGTGTTGCACGGCGACCCTGCTATTCTTCGTCATCTCTCTGCAGTGTGGGATTTCCTCCTTCCTCTCAGGTCATGTGACTGCAGATATGGGTGTGGTCTCCTGCATTCTTGCCGCCTCCTCCGCCCCAGGAACTGGAGTGTGTGTGTGGCATGCTGCAAAACACTCCCTCTCACACAGGCACACGCACATTTGTCTTGGCCAATCCCGCTGTGCAGCCACTCTGCATGAGGAAACGTCTGCATGGAGTCGCAGAGGGTCGGAGTGTCGGTGTGTGTGTTTGGCTCTGATGCAGAAAGAGAAGTTCCTCTTCAAGTGGAGGGTGTTACCAGAGTTTGCGTTGTGTGCGTGTTGGGAAGGGTGGTGCAGGCTGCTCCTTTATGCAGAGCAGGTGTGTCTGCAGAGGCTCAGAGCGGGGAGGAGGGAAAGGATGTGGGAGGATGAAGAGGGGGGATGAAGAAGAGGAAGATCAGGGCCAGACTGTTCTGATTTCTGTCAGTCCAGCTAAGAAAACACAACCTTTTCATTCAGATTCAGAAAATACAACAGTTTGGATGTTTTCAACAGTTAGCAGTGAAGCCCGCCCCCTTTCTGCCATATTCCACCTGATTGGCTGAAAGAAGCTTCTCTCTGTTGCTAACAGAGCAACTTTAACAATATAGTCTGAATGATTTCTGTTCTTAATCTGTGACCTGCTTACAGATGTCTGATCTCAATGTGACGTCCGTGTTTGCCCTTTGACCTCAAAGTTTAAACAACAAATCTGCTGGTACCAAGCTTTATGATCTATAACAGAAACAGCTCTAAAAACATAATGAATATGACATATTTTCACTTGTCTCTCCAGTCGTGAGCGGTCATAAGTGATTTGCATCAGGAACAGGGCAGTCAATGGAAAACAATTTAGCATCTGTTAGCAGCTTAGCGTGAAGCTACCTTAGCTAAAGTTACACCGAGGGTGTGAATACTTAAGAGAATGCAGGTTCTTACCTGTCTGAAAGCGAACCTGTAATGAATTCAGCCTTCCTGTTATCTGCTGAACGTCCTGCTCTCTCTCGCTTGCCGGCAGCCTGAACAAACTGCTGAGTCAACTTTAAACCTGAACTTAAACGCCTCGTCATGTTGCTGCTGCATTCACAGTTTCCCTTAACGTGGTATTTTTACATTTCCAACCGATCATCCTGTTCCCATTAGAGGCTGATCCAGGCTAACGTCAGTGTCTGACCCGACATGTCCACAGCTGTCATGTCTACACAGTTTTATGTTTTCTGACCTGATGTTTATTTTGTGATTATTACTGAGTGATCACAGCAGTGGTAGATTAGCTCACTTAATCATCTGCTCTACTTACGATCTGTGTGTGTTGCCTTTTTTTTGACTTGACTGAAACATACCACATTCTGCAGCACATCCACATGTTAAGACTGTGGATGTGCACATCAACGTAACTGATGTGCACATCAGTTAAGCGTAACTATCTCCCTCAATTCAACTAAAACTTTTCACTGACCTTGAATGTAGTTGTTGAAGTGTTGAAATTAGTATAAATTTAAGATTTAGTGTGTTATGCTGACAGCCGAAAGCAATGGTAGTCATCGTCGGCGAGAAGTTTTTTGGGGACTTAGAGCGCATGACGCCACGCTGCAACGTGTCTATACTACGCAAAATGATGCACAGGCTCACTGATTCTGGGTAAAATGCCTCAGATACAGCTGCTGTTTCCAATATTAGAGGATTATTAATATATAATAACTGGAGAACTATCCAGAGTTTCTCCGTTGCTGAGGAAACTAAAGATTTCCAGAATCCCCCTGCTGCCTTGCCGCTTTCCTGGGACCCAGATTGGCAGGAGCGGATAGTCAGCTCCTCTGATATGAACCTGTTCTCAGTGGACGTCCACAGTTCGGCGATTGTCTCCTAACACTTTTTGTTTCTGTTCAGCCTCTCAGTGTCTCTAAGCTTCCCTGAAGCAGCACAGGAGGCTCCTCCCCCTCGCTGCTGATGTAATGACCTTGTGACATGTCTCTCATTGACCTCTGTTCTGCTGCCTTTTTGTATTCAGCTGATATTTTGCAACGTTGTTCTCTGCATTGTCGTCCATCAGGAATGACTGGGTGTGTCCCTCAGGGCCAAACATAGATGCTACCTTTGGACTGACATGGGTGTGTGTGTGTGTGTGTGTGTGTGTGTGTGTGTGTGTGTGTGTGTGTGTGTGTGTGTGTGTGTGTGTGTGTGTGTGTGTGTGTGTGTGTGTGTGTGTGTGTGTGTGTGTGTGTGTGTATACACGGTGCTGCGCTCAGATCTGTAGCTGCTCAACATGTTTAGTACGACTCAGAATGACTTGGAGACGAGTTATTAGTGGAAAGAGTTCAAATGTCTTTGGTAGGAATGAAATCTTTTCCAACAGGAAGAAGAAGTGAAAGCAGCCATCATGGGGATGATCTGTCACTAGTCCACTGTTGTTGCTGTTTCCATGGCAACAAAAACAGCCAATTCAGCAGAGAAATGACTCAAATATGTTTTTATTGTTGCAGCAGAAAAATCTCAATATTGCTTTCATGCATTTAAAGTCACAAAGACTGGATGGATAATTGTAGTGGTGATAGATATGATGAATCTGTTTGCCCTTTGACCTCAGAGAGCAGAGGGAAAGGTTCAGGTTTTCGGTTCTGGTCCAGTTTGTTCTTTATTACAAATATTTTTAAAAACAGGCTTTTGTTCCAATCATTTGTTCTGAGTCGACCTGAATTCAGTGGAAAATAATGGAAACACCAACAATATGGCGGCTCTGTGAGCGCCACACTGAACTCTGGAAACCCAACAAAGGATTTTCTGGGTTTTCTGGAGGATCTGATTAGATGGTTCTGGGTCTATAATGAGTTCTGATCTCTGCTGCTGTTTGGGTTAAGCCTGTTCCTGTTTCCCTACAGAGTGGCAACATGTTTACTTCCTGGTTTCCATGGTGATCAGAGGGAGCATGCTCGTCCACGCCTGGATCTAAGCTCTGCGTTCATCTCCAGCAGCCGCCTCCAGAGGGGAGAAGACCGAGCGGTCCAGAACCGCAACCCGCCAGAACCGACCGCACCCACAACCCGTCAGCCGCCAGCCCGGACAGAGGAGCAGCGCCAGCGGCATCGACATGGCCAACAACACAGCGGACCACCCTCCGGGGAACTCGGTGGCCGAGGGCGGCCATGACGGCGGCCATGACGGCGACTTCGGAATCAGCATGCAGGAGCTGAAGGGCCTGATGGAGCTGCGGAGCGCCGAGGCTGTCGGAAAGATCCAGGAGGGTCATGGAGACGTGCAGAACATCTGCCGCAAGCTCAAGACCTCACCTATTGAAGGTAGGAACCAGAACCGGTTCTGAGGGCTGGGTCCAGAGGCTGGACTGGAACTCGTGGTCTGAGACTCAAGTCCTGGTTCCAGTGTCTGTCTGATGTGATGAAATAGGAAGCTGAACCATTTTGACTCCAGACTGGACCACTGGGAAAGCAGCACTAGATTATTATGAGATGTTCTCTTAGCAACAAGTAGCTTCATAATAAAATGGATTATTATGGGATGTTGACATATCCTAGCAACCAGTAACATCTTGATAATTTCAGAACCAAATAAGCTGACCTTTGACCTCTCCTGTAACTCTGCAGAGGAGGAGAACCCGGGTTGGTTCTGATTGTTCCTTTTTGTTCTGGACCTGGGCCGGTTCTACATGTGGAACCGGCTGCTGCTGGTGTGAGCTGGGAAGGCAGGTGATGACAGAACCGGACCTGTTTCCGCGCAGCAGCGTTCTGCTGACCTGCAGGTCCGGTTTAACGACCAGAACCAGAACCACGTATGGTTCTGGTTTAGAAACAGATCAGTAACGACTCACCAAGCTCCCAGATGTTCTGATATATTCAGAGGAAACGGACCCAACCCCAGAACACCAGATTGTGTCAGAGTAGAAAATGGCCGTGATGTTGCTGTTTACTCCTCCCTCCTTTTTGATCCCTCTGTGTGTGTGTGTGTGTGTGTGTGTGTGTGTGTGTGTGTGTGTGTGTGTGCGTGTGCGTGCGTGCGTGCGTGCGTGTGCGTGCGTGTGTGTGTGTGTGTGCGCGTGCGTGCGTGTGTGCGTGTGTGTGTGTGTGTGTGTTTCCATGGGTCCATTCCAGGATTGAAATTAGTTCCAGCCCGTTCCCCTAATGGCTCCACCGATCATTGCTCTGCTCCATTTAGTAATCAGAGGACGTCGAAGTTACTCCTTTAATGATAGAAGCTTCATTAGATTGGCTTTGCTGATACTGGAGGGGGCGGGGCTTAAGCTTCAGGACAAACGAAACCGGGTCAGAATGGATCATCTGCACCCACTGGTAGGAAACGTCCCTCAGGGAAGGTGTTGGGGTTGAATCTGACCTCTGACCACTCCAGTCATTCTTACAGCTGCTTTTCCCCGTTTCTTTTGATTCAGTCAGAGGAATCCTCACATTATCAGAGCTGCCAGGAGTATGAATAATTGTAGGCCTAACCTTTGACCTCCTATATAAACGCTCTTGATGACTCAGTTCCTGCTTCATGGTGGCCATCATCAGAGCTGCAGTGAATTTTTAACGAGTTGCTGCAACAGAATCAAAGGTTTATAACACTTAATCACTTAAATGTTATAAAACCACACAATTATGAAGGTTTTAGTGATTTAGGTTTAATGTCAGAATGAAGAGCACCTGCAGAAATACAGAAATATTCAGACTTTCATTATTTTTCTGTTTTTATATTACAAAAGCTTATTTAAGCATCACTAAATCTTAAAGTGAAATATCAGATTAGATGAACATGGGAGATGCAGATGTCTCTGGTCTCGTCGGTGTCCCTTGTTGGACCGCTGTGTCCCCTCAGAGAGCTGGGTTCTGGTCCACTTTGAGTCCAGGTTCTCTCTGTGAGTTTGCTCTTTGTTGGGCTGAACCATGTTGAGAAACAGCTAGCAGGAACCGTTTCATGGTGACAGGCTTTAAAGATGGCTTCTATAAATAAGCTGCTATTTTAGGACAAAGGAACACTGGCTGTGGTGTCACTCAGGTGAGAAGATGGCAGCTGGTTGCTATTGTCTCTGTTAGCAGTGCAGCTTTCATCTCAGCATGTCTGATCCAGGACGTCTGAAGCTGTCAGTGAAGAAATTTCATCTTTCATTACGAACGTCTGCAGATTTTTGACATGTTGGAGAGCAAACAATTAGTTCAGAGCAGCAAATGCTCCAGATCCAGACATGTTGGCTGTTTTTTATAAACTCTTAGCGTTAGCATTGCCGTAAGCATCGCATTTAGTATTGAGGCGCTTCAGTATTGTTCAGGGAAAAAAAAACGTTCTTATTTTTGCACCAGATAGCAGCTTTAATAGGACGGCTATGTTATAGGGAGTCTGGGGATCTACAGACAGGATACCAGTAGTAAATGTCTTACATGTGACAAATGAGTCTATTCATCAAACTGTCTCACCAACCGTCAGCTAGAGAGGTTGGACCCACCCAGCAGATCAGTGTGGGTCAGACATTTAAAAAGTAAACAAATCATCATCTAAATATTCTAAAAGAAAGGTAAAAAAGGATTCAACAATTAAAAACCAAGAGTCCACAAAAGCTAAAATGATCCTTTATCTCAAAAACAAATTCAATTTGAATTTACAAAATACCTTCAACGACATCAGTTTATGTTTAAATGTAGTAAAATATCCTGTCGACTCTTCACTACATGCATCACATGTTTACAATGACTCAAGTAAAAATGAATAAGGACGTGTTCTCAGGAATCAGTATTTTTCTCCTGTGTTACTGCTTCCATGTTGACATTTTAAGTTAGTTTTAACTCATACGCAGATTAGATCTGCTTTGCTCTGAGTCATTGACTGCAAATCAGATACTGCCTCCTCAGAAGCTCAGAGCAGAACCCGGGGGTTTCGGGTTCAGCTCTGAGCAGAACCCGGGGTTCAGCTCTGAGCAGAACCCGGGGTTTCGGGTTCAGCTCTGAGCAGAACCTGGGGGTTTCGAGTTCAGCTCTGAGCAGAACCCGGGGTTTCGGGTTCAGCTCTGAGCAGAACCCGGGGGTTTCAGGTTCAGCTCTGAGCAGAACCCGGGGTTCAGCTCTGAGCAGAACCTGGGGGTTTCGGGTTCAGCTCTGAGCAGAACCCGGGGGTTTCGGGTTCAGCTCTGAGCAGAACCCGGGGTTCAGCTCTGAGCAGAACCCGGGGTTTCGGGTTCAGCTGCAGATCTGACCAGCAGCAGCGTGGACTCGTCTCCATGGAGACCAGCTGGTTCCCATGGAGACTGATCAATGGATAGATGCTGAGCAGGACTAATCATAGATATTTCAGTGTGGATGTTGAGGATCGGCTATTGGGTCAGAAACCTACCCTGTTACTGCAGAACAGGAAGTGACCCAAATCATTTCATGGCTTGATCGAGTCCAGGAGGCTGGTTCTGCTGGGTTCTGCTGGGTTCTGCTGGGCTCTGCTGGTTCTGCTGGGTTCTGCTGGGTTCTGCTGGGCTCTGCTGGTTCTGCTGGGTTCTGCTGGGTTCTGCTGGGTTCTGCTGGGTTCTGCTGTTCACCTGACGGTTCATTAGTCTTACCTGAAGACAGTTTAGCTTGAAAAGCCTGAGATTGGGCTGAACCAGTCCGGTGTTTTATAGGGATGGAAATCATTTTTCTTTAAGTAGTTTGTTCATAGTTGGTTATTGACCTTTGACCCCTGGTTCCTGGGGGGTTTCAGTGACAGCAGAATTGATACTGATCCAGTTATTAATTAAAAATTAATCAAAATGTTCATAATTAGATAAAAACTTCTGAAAAATAGTTTCACCTTGTGGAAAATGCCAGAGATTTTAATTTCTGCAACATGAATAATTACATTTAAAATGCATTTGAATGAGTCAGGAGCAGAAAAAAAATTACTTGCACTTTAACATTTCAAAAAGCAAATGAAAGACTTTAAGAAAACCAAAACTATGCAAAAATAAAACAGCTAAAAAACCCAGGATGGTTGTAGAATGATGAACCATCTTTTCCAGAAGTTGAGACATTTTCAGGTCATTTGTAATGTTTCGTTCTCTCTGACGTTACTGAAAGAAACGAGAGCTAAGAGATGAAGGTGGAAACATGGCACCTCTTTCTGGTTCTGACCCAGTCGGAACCGGATTGGGAGAGGCCGACCCAGTAGAGTCGGACCAGTATCCCATCGCTGTCTGGAATCCATTGTTTTCACTTCTGATGCTGATATCTGATGCTTGATATCGACTGATGTCGATCCATTACAGAAAAACAGCTGCATTGACTTTAAATGTTTCTTTTTTCTAAACACGAACATAAATGTAGTAACTAATTTATTTATAACTCTGCACCAGACCAACTTGCTGAAATACACCAACGGCTTCAGCAGCGTGGTCAAACATGTAAAAACAACTTTGATTTGTTCAGTTAATTAAGAGATAAAAAGCTGAAGTGACAAATAAGACTAAAACAGTAGTATGACTAACTTGGTCAAACAGTAAAAAATAAAACTGAAACTAACCTTATTTCTAATGGTTAAGAAATGCAATTAGGAGTGATTAATATAATTTAGAATAAATAATAAGGCATGACGTCGCTCAGAGCAAAGCACAGAATACTACAGAATAGATTCTCCCTCATGGATCAGAACCCTGTCACTGATCGGTGCACCATATTAATGTCTGATTGGTGCATCTCTGGCTGCTGCAGCTTCAGCTCAGTGCTGAGATGTTGGTCTCCTGCGGGACGCTGAGCAGCTGTCAGAACCAGAACCAGAACCCGGAGCGGAAACAGGAGACAGAGGAGGTTGTGTGAAGCTGATTGTGCTGCTCAGTGACAGCAGCTTTCAGCCTCAGATGATCAAACTGGCTCTGAACATCGATCAGCAACGCTCTGACAGCCGCTGGGATATTTTTAAAATCCGTCCTGCCAGCCTCATTAAGACGGGAGCTGGACTGTCGGTGACAAACCCGATGCTACTGAGCTGCTGCTGCTGCTGCTGCAAATAATCGATTAAAACTGATGATGATCATCTGCTGATCAAACATCACCTGACCAGATTCACCTCCCACATCCTCTCTGGGTTCTGGTTCTGGTCTGTCACTACAGAACCGCTCCAATGGGCTAGAACCAGGCCTGTTGCAATAACATATTCTGCTGGATGTTAATTTGTCCCAGAAGTTATTGCAATAAATAATAACATTGGTGTTATGAGAGCCTTTTCAAGTAATATTATGGAAATAGCATAATATTGCAAGAACACATTCTGAAAGATCAATAAAATTGTAATTCTATTGAACATTTAACTCTTAAGTATCCCAGATTAAAGAGAAAACAACAGAAACAATAAATAAAATTATTTTGAAGTCAGTAAAGTATATTTTATTCTGTCCTTCAACACCTGATTAAAGACTTTTATGAATAAATTTTGCATAGTAAATAACTTTTTGACAAAAAAAAAATAATGCAAACAGGCCTAGTTTCAGGTCTTTAAGCTGCATTTATTTCAGCACCTGAAAAATCTGGGTGTGATGGTTGATCCTGTGTCTAAATTTGATAATCATATTAGCGCTTTTATCCAAACCAGTTTCTTCCAGCAGCGAACCTGTGCAAAGATAAAATCTCATCTTCCTCAGCCTGAATTTGAGAGATCTATGAGCACATTTATTACATCACATTCAGATTATTGCAATTCTTTGTATTTAGGGTTTGACCAGAGCTTTTTGGCAGCGACTGTAGGGCGTGAAAAACGCTGCAGCATGTCTATCAGCCTTGTTCTCACATCTTTCTCTGGCTCCCCGCTTTAAGTTTTCATCTGCCGTCCACCCAGTGCGTTGAGGTCAGACAATCAACTTCTGTTGGCTAATACCAGGTTAGAGTCTAGAGGTGACAGAGCTTTGTCTGTCGCAGCACCCAGACTGCAACTTCAGACTCAAATCTCATCATTGTTTCTAACACTCGTGAAAAAAGGGGGAAAGAATGAGAACTTAATTGATTCAGGTTTTGGGAAATTGCTGAAGTCTTGCTGCATGTCTTTTTTTTTTTTTTTTGTATTTTACTATCAATTTTATATATATATATATAATATATATATATATATATTATATATATATATATATATATATATATATAATATATTTTTTATTTTAATTTTTTTTTTTTTTAAGTTTATCATTATCTATTTACAATGCTGTAATTATTGTGAAGCACTTTATATAAATACACACCAAAAATGCTAAATATTAATTTTGGTTTATTTTCTAGTGCAAATATTAGACAAACTAACTTAAAAGTAACTTTTAGCATAGAGGCTTGTTTATGAAAAGGTTCTTGTTATATTGGCAGATAAGTTAACTTATAACATGCGGAAAATGTTTTAAGTTAAATAATTTGCCAAAGGAAGTAGAACTTTTTCTTCAATATTAAGGAATTATGTAGTTAAAACAAGCCTCTATGTCTTGGTAAAAAGTTACTTGTGAGTTAGTTTTGTCTTATTTAAAGTTTGCTAAGATATTTGCACTAAAAACTAGAACAAAAATACTTGGTAAGATTTTGTTTTTTCCTGTGTAAACTTTGATCTGACCTGATGTAAACACGGTCTGATTTCCAGACTCGATTTCCTTCCAGACCTGGTACCAGGCCCGGCTCCCTGGGTAAAGTTGAATCAAAGTTTAAAGTGGAAACTCCTCTTCCAGTTTCAGTTTATTATCCTGACAGAACATATTAGTTTCCAGCTGCTGGTTGCCTCATATAATATTGTGGCACCAACCCTCCCCCACCTATTGCCTTGCACTGCCAGTCAGCTGTCTTAAAGAAGGTTTTCTCTGGATTATTTGGAAGTGTTTCTGGTCCTGTAAAGCTGTCATAGTTCAGATCTGCAACAGACTGTCTGTGGTTCAGTCAGGAAGCTCAGAGGGCTGTTCAGTAGCAGACTGCTGGCTAGCCTGTCTGTCTGACTGACTGACTGACTGCTGGACAGACTGCTGGCTAGCCTGACTGACTGACTGACTGACTGCTGGACAGACTGCTGGCTAGCCTGACTGACTGACTGTTGGACAGACTGCTGGCTAGCCTGAATGACTGACTGCTGGACAGACTGCTGGCTAGCCTGACTGACTGACTGACTGCTGGACAGACTGCTGGCTAGCCTGACTGACTGACTGACTGACTGCTGGACAGACTGCTGGCTAGCCTGACTGACTGACTGACTGCTGGACAGACTGCTGGCTAGCCTGACTGACCCACTGACTGCTGGACAGACTGCTGGCTAGCCTGACTGACTGACTGCTGGACAGACTGCTGGCTAGCCTGACTGACTGACTGACTGCTGGACAGACTGCTGGCTAGCCTGACTGACTGACTGCTGGACAGACTGCTGGCTAGCCTGACTGACTGACTGCTGGACAGACTGCTGGCTAGCCTGACTGACTGACTGACTGCTGGACAGACTGCGGGCTAGCCTGACTGACTGACTGCTGGACAGACTGCTGGCTAGCCTGACTGACTGACTGACTGCTGGACAGACTGCTGGCTAGCCTGACTGACTGACTGACTGCTGGACAGACTGCTGGCTAGCCTGACTGACTGACTGACTGCTGGACAGACTGCTGGCTAGCCTGACTGACCCACTGACTGCTGGACAGACTGCTGGCTAGCCTGACTGACTGACTGACTGCTGGACAGACTGCTGGCTAGCCTGACTGACTGACTGACTGCTGGACAGACTGCTGGCTAGCCTGACTGACTGACTGACTGACTGCTGGACAGACTGCTGGCTAGCCTGACTGACTGACTGACTGCTGGACAGACTGCTGGCTAGCCTGACTGACTGACTGACTGCTGGACAGACTGCTGGCTAGCCTGACTGACTGACTGCTGGACAGACTGCTGGCTAGCCTGACTGACTGACTGACTGATGGGCTGCTCTGCTCTCACTGCATTGCCATAATCATATATAATCAGTTGGTTTAGCTTCTACTGTTTTCATAATTTCCCAGAATGCAGTAATCCAGAGCTCAGGCCTCCATTAGCTTCCAGTTCATATTTAATTTAAGAGGAATTTGAGGAAATTGATCATAATCTATAACAAATGACAGATGGGATCATTTTTATCAGTTTATCTCCAGATTTCTTGTCTGAACTTGAAGTACTGAGAACAACCTGAAGAGCAGCAGTTTTGCAACAACAGTTGGGTCCAGAACGTGGGTACAGATGGATCCAGTGCCGTTATTTACGATCATAAAGTTTATTTTAATGGTGAAAGTCAGGAAACCTCTTCTGAACCATCTCCAACCTCCAGACTGAGCCATTTCTAAAGTTTCTTTTTATATGGCCAGGGAGATTCTGGGCCCAGAATTTGGTGAAGGGACCATTAGGAATGGATCTCTGGTTCTGAAAGTTCTCTGACCCACTCTGAGATCCAACTGTTGCTGTTGGCAGCAGAGAGCTGGCCTGACCAGGAACCGGGCCAGGACAGCCCAGTAGGTGCTGATTATTGGCTCTGGAGGTTGAGCAGATGGAGTGTCCAGCAGGGCTTTGGCCGATCCGGTCCAGGTCAACTGAGGTGGTTCATCTCTGCTCTGTGAAAAGGTCCAGAACACGAGAGGGACGACTCCAGAAACAGGAGAAGTTCGATTCAAGATTAGTCTGCTTTCTTGGCAAACCGTTCCCGCTAGAGCCCCACCTCTGAGCCAACTTGTGGAGAACCCATCATGATTAGACTGCAGCAGCTGTCCAGAATCATCAGAACTAATATCTGTGCTGTTTGTTTCTGCAGGTCTGTCTGGAAACCCGTCCGATCTAGAAAAGCGCCACGCTGCGTTTGGGAAGAACTTCATCCCTCCTAAGAAGCCTAAGACGTTCCTGCAGCTGGTGTGGGAGGCGCTGCAGGACGTCACACTGATCATCCTGGAGATCGCCGCCATCATCTCCCTGGGCCTGTCCTTCTATCATCCACCAGGGGGCAATGCTGAAGGTCTGACTACACTCTAATCAAATTCTGTTTGATTATATTAGTGGTATCAGTAACCAGATTGTTATTAAAGTCGTTACTGTGACTGATTTTAACTTATAAGGTCGATGTCGCTCTGCGTCAGCATCCACTGTACTGTGCATGTTGTCTTCAGAAAGCAAGCAAGGATATTAGCTATTTCTAATCAGAATGAAAAAAATAAACTCTTAGAACCTGTTGTTACCAAGATAAAGGAGAACCTGGAGGTTGTCTTCATGGAAACAAGTTCATTGGTTGTTCATTGGTTGTCAGCATGTGGCCAGGCTGCGGGCGGCGTGGAGGACGAGGGAGAGGCACAGGCCGGCTGGATCGAGGGAGCCGCCATTTTGTTCTCTGTCATCATCGTGGTTCTGGTCACGGCCTTCAATGACTGGTCCAAGGAGAAGCAGTTCCGCGGGCTCCAGAGCCGCATCGAGCAGGAGCAGAAGTTCACCGTCATCCGCAAAGGCCAGGTGATCCAGATCCCCGTGGCTGAGATTGTGGTGGGAGACATCGCTCAGATCAAGTACGGTGAGTGGGTCACATCCGTCCCTTGGTTACTGATTATTCTCTATAAATGATTTATTGTTGGTTTATCAGCCGTGGCTAATTCATCAAACCTCTCCCTACATACCAGTTGATTGAAATGAAAAACTAAACACAATGATCAAAGACATGTAAAGCAACTCTTTCAAAGTTACTGAATCAAAATTATTGCAACAAGTTTTCTTGGTAAGCTGCAGCCCTGACCTCTGACCCCTCCTGCAGGAGACCTGCTTCCGGCCGACGGCATCCTCATCCAAGGCAACGACCTGAAGCTGGATGAGCTCTCTGACCGGAGAGTCGGATCAGGTCCGGAAGTCCCTGGACAAAGATCCCATGCTGCTGTCCGGTGAGTGGTTTTGGTCCACTTCCACCTGCTGATCAATAGAAAACAGGATCACGGCCAGAATAACAACCCGGTTCTGATCCGGTCCACAGGGACTCATGTGATGGAAGGCTCTGGCAGGATGGTGGTGTCGGCCGTCGGCCTCAACTCCCAGACCGGCATCATCTTCACCCTGCTGGGCTCCAGTGAGCACGACGAGGAGAAGAAAGTCAAAAAAGGTGAGACTCAGACAGGAAGCACAAGGTGTGATGTGGAAGGTCAGACGGTCGGCTAGAGGTCCAGAGGCTCGATCCATCAGGTTCTGAGTGGTTCCACTGAGCTTGTGTTGGTGGGAGGGGTTCCTGCTGTCCTACAGGAGAGACGTTGAGGGGTCCAACTGTCGTCTCCAAGCATCAGCGAATAAATGAGACCAGAGAGATGTGGAATCTGGAGACAGAACTTTTCCAGAACCTTTCAGTCAACAAACTAGACATTAGTTACTCTGCTTCAGCCGTGAGCATCAGCAGCTGGGAAGCTTGATATGATGAGCCAGGCTGGAATTACGCTGGTCTCACTTTTCTCCACATGTTCATTCCATGTTTTCATCAGAACAGCTGAGCTGTAGAAGTTCAGCTGGAACGGTTTATTCTGTTTAAACCAAGTTCCCTTCATGCTTTAAAAAGCCAGTTTCAGCTCATGTTTGACGCGTCTCCCTCAGTTTCACCTTTTTTCTTACTTTGAGGTCATCACTGATGCTGGGTTTCTCCAGAGATGATCTGTGTATTGAGAGGTGGCTCTTCGTCCTCACTTCCTGTTTTATCCAGTTAGGGTTGGCAGTGTCCTGCTGCTTTAGAAAGCATCCCTGGTCTTGAAGAAGAATTCAGTCAGGTTCTCCTTGAGACATGTTCAAAGAGAATTTTAAATATGTCTTCTGCTCTGAAAGACATAAAAAGCCTGTCTGTGGCTGTTCATGCTGAGTTTCTGGGTTCGCTGTCCAGAGGAGACGTTGATATTTGCTTTGTTCCGGACAGCCTCCTCTGCTCCATGTCATGGTCTCATTTATTCCTGCTGCGTTTTGGAGACCGAACCGAGCTGCTGCTCAAAGAGTCCCAGATTGGTCTCCAACCGGGCCGGCTCCGATCCACTCGTGATCACGCTGAATCCCCTTCCCTCACCTCCTCAGTTTGTCCCTTCTGGTTGTTTCTTTTACCAGTCGAGGTTTGAGTTTGTCAGGCATTCATTGAGCCGGGTGAACGGACGCTCACCAGAGAGAGAAGCCCCGAGATCCAGGAGAACTGCACTCTGGTTCCGGTCTGAGTCTGCTCCGGACCAGGCTGCCGATCCTGATGACAACGGACACAAATCAGACCTCATAGACCCGTTGAAGAGCCCACCCCCCCTCAACTCCTGCTGGAGGTCAAAAATTCCTCACTGACGATGACTAGCATTATCTTTAGCTTCAAATTGTGAACATAACGTGTTAAAACTTAAATGCATTTGTGATGTATAAAAGAAAACTGGACTCAGTGCTTTGCTACTAACTGACAACTAGATAACTAGGTCAGGAAAAAGTTTCATCTAGATAAGAGAGAGGGAAGTAGGTCAGTTATGCTAGCTTGACTTTGACATCTTTAACATGCAGATGGACTGCAGAATTCTGTGTTTCAGTCCAGTTAACAAAAAGGCAGCCCACACCAACTCTGGCAGATCATATTGCAGATGTTTGAATTAGCTATTCAACTACCGCTGTGTTAGCTTAGCTAATAGCAGTGGTAGCTAATCAACCACTGTTAATGTTCATACAAACACTTACTGACAATCACAAAATAAACATCAAGACTGAAACATAAAATTGTAACGGACTGAATGTTCTGTTCTTTATGTGGGGAATGTTTGCCTGTATTTTGGAGTTGAATCTTGATTCAGTACTGGAGCTGTTGTCAGAGAATATGAGTGGTTTTGAGTTGTTCAAGAATTTTTCAGTTGTTTTCCCTTTTCTGAGAAGCGCCACACTAAATTAATAATGCCTGCAGGTTTGGTTTTGTAAATGGTTCTACTGCGGCAGCTCCTCTATCATGGAGAATCTTTTTTGCCCTGCAGCGTTGTGCGCATACGAACAATAACATGCATCGTCTAGCTGCACCAGTCACATGTTCATTCATGTCGCGTCACATCCTCTCATTTCTTAGAAAGACACCCTGAGACTAAACCTCCCTTCACAATAAAAGCTCCTTCATGCAACCAGCAATCTGATCCTCACTCTGACTCTTCTAATCAGCCTTTTATCTGCTGAATTCAGTTTCTCACATTAGACCAGAGGTCTAAAACCTGACACACAAACAGCTCTTTGGACCTTTCTCATTAGCTCTAAACTTTGGCTCACAATAATACAGAAACCACAGATTCTTTAAAATATAGTACCCAATGCAAGTCTTGGTAGTTTCTCTGTTATTTCATGGAATAGTTGCAGTAAAATTCCACTGCAGAATGATTCTAAGGTTAACAGCAATATTTATTAGAATTAGAACTAGTTTTTTTTTATCATAAGATTGCAATCTGTGGGTATTGAGCATATTTTTTAAAATATAAGCTATAAGATATTAATTAAGCCCGAGCGGCGAAAGCCTATTGTAATTGAAAAGTTTATTTTCTTTATCTTTATACCTAAAAGTAGTTTTAAAATTTTGCTCATTAGAAAATGACAACAAATTCCTTGTGGTGAATATTTATATTAAAAAAAAGTTTTTCAAAAATTTTTGTAACATTTGCAGCTGGAAATGAGTTTTATTTAGCAGAACTCAGATTAAAAATGGCCGTCAGGTTGCAGAAACCTGGAGAAACAGAACGGAGGGTTCTGATATCAAGCAGCTCTGACGGAACCAGAACCGCCTCCAACGCCAGCTGTTGCACTGCTGGATGTCGGCGTCTCTCTCCTCTGATGTGTCCATTTCCACCCACAGCTCACACACACACACACACACACCTGTGAGTTTGATCAGTTTGAATTTTGTTCTCCCTCAGCTTAATTTGATCTTTCCTTTGAGCCATCTTATCAGCACTCCGCCCTCTCTCTCTGTCCGAACAGGTAAAAAACAAGGACCCCCCGAAAATCGCAACAAAGGTAACCCCTCCATCCATCCACCTGTCTCCCTCCCCGCCCCCCTTCATTCATCCACCTGTCCCCTCACACTCCTCCTCATCCTCCCTAATCCTCCCTCCCAGCAGCAGCAGGACGGGAGTCTCCAACCCATTTGTCTCTCTGCTGTCTAGAGGGGACGATCTCTCGCTTTGCTTTACCTGTCCAAGGGTGCAACTCTCACCTGTAACCACCACAGCGGTGGGAATGTCCTAAAAGCTTAATTTTTAAGGAGGCAGCAGGGAATCCTGCGATAGAGAATTAGGAATGTTTTCTGTAGTGGGCCGACGGTTCGGACCAGATCACCTGGGTCGGTGCAAATCAGAGCAATTTTTGTTATAAATTAAAATGATAATCATTAATCAATCAGCCACCGCCGGAAGGTGATGCAGCATCTGCTCAGCATGGAGGGAAACCTCCCCCAGCCGCTCAACATAAAGTCACGATGAACAAGAGGTTTAAGATTCATCTCCATCATCAGAATAATAATTATATGGTAAAGTTGATTATGACCGCTGACCTGCCATTCAAAGATCGGACCGGATCATGATCCAGGACTTTAGTTTGTTATGAGTCAAATAGTCTGTGAAAACATCAGCCTCCTCCACTTCCTGCCAGAGCTACTATTGACCAAAAACAGCCAGTTGTAGCTGTCAATCACACTCATGTACTCACTGCTAAATGTGCTAATGGTGGAAAGACAAATCACTGTTAGCGGAGTTCTGCTTATTTGCCACCATTGGGGGATATGTTAACTAGCATTAGCATTCACAACAGAATCTGCTGATGAGGAAAAGCTGTAGCGCAGCAAATGAGGATGGGGGATGAAGGATGAGCAGCGCCCAACAAGTTTGTGATTGGCTCATCGTTCATCGCTCCGACTGGATGTTTGTAGTTAGCACTGGTAGGAGCTAACTACAGAGGAACCCGACTTTTTCACAAATTACCTGTCTCATACCAAACTGTCACAGCATGGAAACAGTTTAAACAAATATGTAAAAAATATTTGTTCTAGAAGTTACTGCAGCTTTAGTCAGCGACAGGTTTCATCAGGAAACTGCTGGATACAAATAAAAGTAACCTCTTATCAGCCAATCGTTTTGATGTTGTTACTTTTACTGGTTCATGTAAAATGATTCCCAGCCGCTTCTGTGACTCTTCCTGTTAGAATGATGAGCTGTTTGGTTCCTGGGTTAAACTAAAATGAAATGAAAGGCAGATAGAGAGGAATGTCTAACATATTTATTTCTGGGTAAAATGTTGTGGCCCTGCTCCTGCAGTTTTCACTAAGCCTCATCAGAATAGCTTCCTCCCTGGTTAACCTAACACTGGCCCAAAGTTAGCTGAAATCAAATGCATTTGTTTTTTACTTCACCAGAGGCCACGCCTCCAGCAGCAGTCACCTGATCCAGACCTGCCGGACGAAGTGAAGCGTAAGGCAAGAGGCTGGATTTTACCAGAATAACTCAAATCTTGCAGGGTTATGTGTGTGTAACAAGACACACAAAAAACAAATGTTAAAACACGGCGGTGTCCAGTTTCAGTGTTTGATCATGTCCAGTAAGCCATTTATCAGTCTGATTCGACATTAAAACATGTTTTCAGTTCTGATTTATAGGAACCTGCAAGTTCTGAACATCTCAGGCTTTCAGGCAGAGAAACTAAATGCTGGTTCTGGTTCTGGAGCACTGAGTCAGCAGATCACTGCATGGTTCCTACAGATCAGGAACTCAAACCATTTATGGACCAGCAGCAGATCCAGTAACAGTGGATCCTAGCGGACCTGGAACTGGTTCCACAGAGAGATGATCTGCATGTCGTCGACATGGAAACGTTTAGCTCTCCGTGATGTAAGCCACTTTAGATCAAATGAAACAATAAAAACTGATTCTGGAAGGATAAACTGATCAGGTCTGGGTTGAGGCTCCGTGCTCCTATTCCTGTCTGACAGCGTGCAGTGATGATGTCATCGGGTCGTCGTCCAGAATGCGCCAACTGTCCTCCATCTTCCATGTGATCCAACAAATGTCCGGCTTCCTCTGCGGCGCCGCCCTGCTGCCGGCCTCCTGCCGTCACAGCATCTGCTGCAGACATGCCGCAGGAACTCACGCATCATCGGCTCTGATCCCACCGTCGTCCTGACAACGGCCGCCGAGAGGAAAACCTGGTCCAGGTCCACACGTCAGGACAGGTTCTGAGGAGTTCTGGGTTCGCTGATCCCAGCAGCATGGGAACAGCTCCGGTCTGGTCTGAATCGGATCCGGTCTGAACTGATTCTGGTCCAGTCTGACCTGGTTCCTCTCTGAACCGGTTCTGCTGAACTGGTTCTGGTCTGAAATGGACCTGTCTGTGGAGTTGCACCCTTCCAGTGTTGCTGGACCTCTGTAGCATTGTTCTGTTCTCATCCCCACTTCCAGGTGGGCGTGTCCTCATTCATTCACTCTTCCTCTTTCTCCTCCTCTTCTTTCTCCCCCTCCTCCTCCTCGCTGTTATGCATCGCTGTCGTTCCTCCATTTTGTTCGGGGTGATCCTTTGAGTTCATCTGGTTTGTGGAGTCGCTTCCCCCCCGTCAGACACGCCTCCTCCTCTGACCGCCGTGCGTTTCCCATGGTGCCTTGCTGCGCCTGTTCCTGGTTCTGTCGTGGGTCCGTGGGTCCGTCCTGTTAGTCCAGTGTTGTGGCTTGTTGTCAGAATGGACCATGTGCATAAAGCTCCACGGCTTCCTGGTTTGACACACGACTCATTCCCACATCTGGAATGTTACATGTCCTGTGCTGTGATGATGATGATGATGATGATGATGAAGATGATGATGATGATGATGTTGATGATGATGTGTATGGGATTAATTACCAGAAGCTCCTGCTGCAGGTTGGGATTCTCCTCTGATGTCCAACCAGGCAGGTCTTCATTAATGGTTTCAGCTGTTTTGTTTTCATTTTTTTGATCATTTTTTTATTCCTCATAAAACACAAGAGCTGATCAGATATGAACCAATAATCGTCTTTACTCTGATAAAACCTTAAAATGTCCCACTTTGTTAAACTTTCCTGAAGGTGTCAGCGTCAGCCAGGTCAGAGCAGTGCTTCTGCAGGAGGTCAGAGGTCAGCTGCAACCAAGAGAGGTTTAGTAAACAAACCCCCAGCTGACCTGGGAAGTTTTCACACCTCTGAACTTGATGCTTTTTCTGACAGACCAACACAAAATTCAGTATGGACACGTTTTGATCAGCAGAAATTTGAAAAGTGTGGTGTGCCTGTTTTCACTTCATATTGGGGTTTTTTTGTATTGTCATTTATCATAATACATTTTTAGTATAATAAGAAATTAGATTTTTTTTATTCAATTATACTTTTTTCAATAACAATTGAATAAATTATTATTAATGATCAATAAATATCAATACATTTGACACATGAATGGTGTCCTAAAACTATGCATTTCAATAGCAGTGTTTGTGTTTGTTTGCGTGTCTGAAGGTCTTAGTTGTACGGTTCTCTGAAAAAAAGTAATAAATATTTTATTGTCACTTTTCTTGTTATCAGAATAATATTACAAAATATTATGATTAAACCTCCAGTCTACATCACTCACCTCTGCACATCCAAAGGCTTGGATCTTAGTTTTGAAGTTTATCAGAATGAAGAGGGCTGAGTCCACTCCGCACTTTTCAGATTTGTATGATACTTCCACTTCACTGCTTTCTGTTAATCTGTCACATAAAATCCCACTGAGCCTCCAATTCAAAGGAACCAAAAGTGAGAAAGTTTGGTGTTGTGAAAGCATTTGCAACACAGAGCTGTTGTGTGGAGACGGTTGCCCACGAGGACCCGGTTAAAGACGGCCGAGTCCAGTTGCAGAGCGGCTCCCGGCTGATGCAGCAGGATGCAAATCTGAAGTTTGTTTATGGAAATGCAGCCTGTTGCAGCGCGGCCGCGGTCAGAGCCGCTGCAGGACGTGTTGACGGGTCTCCGTCATGTTCCTCCAGCCCGGACTAAACGTTCTCCTCTCTTCTCCACTCCCTCCTCTCCTTTCCTCCTTTCTCATTCATTTCAACTCAATTTATTTTCTCTTCCTTTCCTGCTTTCCTTCATGGAATTAAACCTGTTTTTGTTTTCATCTCATCTTCACCGCATCTGTCATTCACTGTGTTTTCCCCTGAAATCCCTCCCTGCCCCAACCAGCCAAGACCCAGGACGGCATCGCGCTGGAGATCCAGCCGCTGAAGAGCGAGGAGGCCACCGAGTCGGAGGAGAAGGAGGAGGTGAAGCAGGTCAAGAAGGTCAACGTGACCAAGAAGGAGAAGTCTGTTCTGCAGGGCAAGCTGACCCGGCTGGCGGTCCAGATCGGCAAGGCTGGTGAGGAGTCCACACACGCACATGCACACACATAAGGGGCTGGGCATTTATCACAAAGAATTTATTATGATAATATTTTGATTTATTGCTGTCACAATAGAATAATGATGCTTAAAATAATAAAATCTAAAAATTTCTGTCATTTTACGCTGCAGAGACATGTATTTTTACCAAGTATTTCTAGTCTCGTTTTCAGTCCAAATATATTAGTACACTTGAAATAAGTCAAACTGATTACAAATATTTTTTTCTACAGGACATTGGAGCTTGTGTTGAGTAAATAATTCCTTAATGTTGTTGAAAAATGTAATAGTTCTATTGGCATATAAATTTAGTGGGAATGTTCCTTTAACGGCTCAGCGGAGAAGCTGATTGGTTGCTGAGCTCGAGGGTCAAAATGCACTTAGTTTTATTAGATGGATTCTCTATTGGGAACAGGATTCATCCTGAAATTGCAGGTGTTTTCTGTCTCATTTCAATTGACCCTAATGCACCGTTACATGACTGAAACCTTTGGGTCGCAGGACGGTGGACGAGTCCTGAGGATACTTCAGAATCACAAACAGATGATTTAATGTTTCGGTTTTATCTTCAGTTCTGAACATATAGGGCATAATCTAGACTAAAATCATTCCTGTTCCTGTTGTCGCCTCAACAGGAACCCGCCAGGCTGAGCTGCAGAAGGTCAAACTATCTGAACTCTTGTAGTGTTGATCAGAATCATTAAGCTATATGAATCAGTTCGTTCAGTTCAGAAAGTCATACAAAATCAATAGATCCTGGCATTTTTCCGCTTTAATGTGTAACTGTGAGTTTTTTAGCAAATTTTCATCAGAAATTGTCCAAATCATTTAAGTCACGTTTAAGTGATTTGTGCTCCCACCTTCAGGTGGCAGTAGCTCTTACTTCTCCCTCAACCTGATCTAAAAAGTTATATAATAACTTATCAGATCATTATAACACCGTTACATCGGTGAGGTATTTCACTTGCTGATGTAATGATGAGGTATTTCACTTGCTGAACCTGATGCTAGGGGGCGCCAGAGCAGTCCTCCAGCGGTCGGTCCAACAGTGACCCACTGTGTCTGTGTTAGAAACATAAAGTTGACAGGAAATTTTCAAATATGACTCCATAATTATGTTATTGGAACACGCTTGGCAATACTTAGACACCAACTTCAATAGGCAGACACGCTGAAATACATTTAAAATAAATATTGAATTTTGGTACTTCAGTTAAATCCTAATCAGCCAGTGGCTCTCTGGTGACATTTAAAAGTAAAGAAATGTCTAAAATGAATGTTATGGGTTAGCATATATGTACATTTAAATATTCTTTGGGCATAAAATTCAATTATTTATTAGATTAATTTTTCTCGCGTTTATCTCGTTTTATTCAATGTCTGCAGTTTGGTGCAGGTTTTTGATGTGCTATAAGCCACCTCGCCTAACCTGCTGTCATTGTTACTCTTAAGTACCTTATTCAGAATAAACAAACGATTCTCAGCATGGCGCAGGGGAAATGAAGCCTGCAGCCCGCCAGGCTTATAAAACATTGGAGAAAACTGATTTTAGGTCTTTAAAATGCTTGTGTTCAATTTACCTGCTTTGATGTTGCTCTTATTTTCTTTCATATATAGTTTTTTTATGAGAACTTTAATAAAGATGAAATATTGCAAAATCAGTTACTTTAAAATGTTAAAGAATTGTGGAATCCTGCAGGGACTGATTTATGTAAACAAATAGAAAACTTGAGAATCCACTTATCATGAATTACGTCTCAGTTAATTCCTCTTAAAAACTTGATAAAGATGTGAATGTTCTGAGAACCTGGGCTGGTACTGGTGCTGATAACATGTTCCGGTTCTGTTTCCTCCCCCAGGTCTCTTCATGTCCGCTCTGACTGTCATCATCCTCATCCTCTACTTCGTCATCCACACGTTCGCCATCCAGGGCCACAGCTGGATGGCCGAGTGCACGCCCATCTACATCCAGTACTTTGTCAAGTTCTTCATCATTGGCGTGACGGTTCTGGTGGTGGCGGTTCCTGAGGGGCTGCCGCTCGCCGTCACCATCTCTCTGGCCTATTCCGTCAAGAAGATGATGAAGGACAACAACCTGGTGCGCCACCTGGACGCCTGCGAGACAATGGGCAACGCCACGGCCATCTGCTCGGACAAGACGGGCACGCTGACCATGAACCGCATGACCGTGGTGCAGGCGTACATCGGAGACACGCACTACAGGACGGTCCCGGAACCTGACGCCATCAACCCAGGAACGCTGGACACCCTGGTCAACAGCATCTCCGTCAACTCCGCCTACACCACCAAGATCCTGGTGAGGCGCCATCTCCAGAACGGCAACCAGACGCGGAGCAGAGCAGGTGTTTGACGTTTTATTGTTTCAGCCTCCAGAGAAGGAAGGCGGCCTCCCGCGCCACGTTGGCAACAAGACGGAGTGTGCGCTGCTGGGCCTGGTGCTGGACCTGAAGAGGGACTACCAGCCAATCAGAGACGAGATCCCAGAGGAAAAGATGTACAAGGTTTACACGTTCAACTCTCCCGCAAGTCCATGAGCACGGTGCTGCAGAACGCTGACGGAGGCTTCCGGATGTACAGCAAAGGAGCGTCGGAAAATCGTCCTGAGGAAGTAAGCATGTAACAAATTCCAAATATATGGAAGATCGCAGAAGCAAACACTCAGAAACAAAATTCTCAGCAGCTTAGCACCGGCAAAGCATTTTTCGCTCTGCTGCCATTTAGTAGAAAAACTAAGTGGCGGGGAAAACCAAAACGTTCAGTAGCGGTTGGACAGAGAAACGAAATGCTCAGTAACGGCTGGCGGAGTGTTTCGTTTCTCTGCACAGAGAAACGAAACACTCCGCAGCAGTTGGGCAGAGAAAGGAAACTCTCCAGTGGCTGGGGGTGCAGAATGAAATGCTTGTTAATGTTTCATTTCAATACAGTACTTAGCCGCCTCCAAGCCTTTCGATTCTTTGGCAAAAAAATAAAACGCATGGCAGTCACTCAGCGGAAAGCAAAATCCTTGGCGGCTGTTGGCCAGAGATACAAAACCGTCAGCAGTGGTTGGGTCCCGAGAACTGAATCGCTCAGCTCTCCAGCTGGGTGGAGAAACCCCGTGCTGGCTGAACGTTCTCTCTCCGCTCTTCGCCAGGTGCTCCCGGATCCTAGATGCCAAGGGTCAGCCGCGTGTATTCAAGGCCAAAGACCGAGACGAGATGGTGAAGAAGGTGATCGAGCCGATGGCATGCGACGGGCTGCGGACCATCTGCGTGGCGTACCGCGACTTCCCTGCCGAGGCCGGGGAACCCAACTGGGACAACGAGAACGACATCCTGAACGAGCTGACCTGCATCGCTGTGGTGGGCATCGAGGACCCCGTCAGACCCGAGGTAATCCCCTGGTTCAGTTCTCTTCTAAAAGCAGCAGAAGCTGCTTCTGAAGTAACGAGGCAGATTTTCTGTCGGGCAAAAGTTAGTCTGTCCTGAGGCAGTTGATGCTACAGCTATGCAGTTGCTGATGTAAACTTTAATACACGGCGAGATGGCTAGCTAGTTTGCTATAGTTTACATCTGGAAGTTTCTCACATGCGCACAAAATAGGCAAAAGTATTATTCTTTCATGTCGTCCATGACAATCAAATGAAGCCTGGAGATGAAGGCATTATCAATTTAGTCCAGTGCGTCACAGCAAAGGGAAAAGTAACAGAAATAACAGCGAAGAACAACTCAAAACCTCTTTTTTCCTGATCTCTGCTTTGCTGTTACATACAGACCTGTTGCCACAGCAACTGACCAATAACAATGCCACTAATGTATCAGGATTCAACACCAAAAACCAGGCAAGAATTTCCCACACAAAGAACAGAACATTCAGTGGGTTATGTTTTCAGGCTGTTATTGTACAATGGCTGATTCGCTCATTTAAACACCTGCTCTGCTGATGATCTGTTGGAGAGTTGGTGTGCGGCTCGCCTTGTTTATTTTTTTAAATTGGAGCTAAACACACAGAATTCTGCAGCACATCTACATACTAAGATGGTCAAAGTCAAGCTAGCATAACTGGCCTTCTTCTCTCTCCTTTTTAATTAATTTATTAGTTGTTGTAGTGTTGACAATTCGTAGCAAAGCATTGTGTCCCTTTTACTTTTATATAACACACATACATTTAGGTTAACATGTTGTGTTGACAACTCCAGTGCTAGTCATTGTCAGCTAGCAGTTTTCTGTCCTCCAACATGGAGCTGAGATGTGACGTCACCGTGCAACATGTCTACATCTGCATATATTTCTATATATTTCAGCATCACGATGGAGAAGCTTCACTTTCTCTAACAGCATGTTGCTCCAACCCTCTAGGTACCCGCAGCTATTGCTAAGTGCCAGCGAGCGGGAATCACTGTGCGCATGGTAACCGGTGACAACATCAACACGGCCCGCGCCATCGCCACCAAGTGCGGCATCCTGCTGCCGGGAGAGGAGTTCCTCTGTCTGGAGGGCAAAGAGTTCAACACGCAGATCAGGAACGACAAGGGAGAGGTAAAAGATCGCTGGAAAGCTTAAATGTCTGTTAACACAAAACTTTATGTATTTATAAAAACTCATTGTATTAACAATTGGGTTTATTGTCCTAAACATTTCAGTAAAGTTCTCATTCTTAATATTTGCTGCTCAAACTAAAATCTGAACGTTTTATGTGGACTCAGATATTTTTATTAAGAATAAAATATTTCTGTTTTATCTGGACCAGATGGTTGAAGATTTCACATAGAACTTGAAAAATGAACCAGACTTGAGGACATAAATAATTATTTCTACTGTTGTTAAAAATGTATCAAACATAAATTGTTATAGACAGAATAAGTTAAATAAAAGTCCAACATGAAAGAATTCTGTAGGTTTTCTTATTTTGGAAGCATAGCCATTTTTCTCCAGTTATGAAAGCTGCTGATTGAAGCTGAAGGAGCGTTTGAAGTGGAATTAGCCTGACCTCTGCAAAAACACTAAATCATGGGGATTTTTTTTTCTTTTGCGTTCCCTCGCAGTAATGTTCTGATTAGTTCATGCGGCATAATTGAATACTATAAGCCTTCCTAACGATGGCCATCGTACTTTCTGCTGTTATGTAAGGCTTTCGTGAGGTTTTTCTATGCATGTTATATCTTGTTGTGAAACACCTGGAGTTTTTATATTTTCCGTCAGGATAGAAATCCACCACAAGTCTACATAAACGGACACTTTCCATAAGTAGGAAAGAAGAAAAAAGACATGCAAACTATTTGGACTGTTAGTGAGTTATTATTGTGGGATAATGAGTCATCTGACAGTTTTGATTGTGTCTCTTTTGTTGGTCTAAATGATTAAAGGGCCATTTTCTTCTCAACCACATACAAACAGACATAAACATGCAGTGAATAAATCGATGTTCAATCACTTTTTAGCACCAAAGAATTAATAATAAAACACGTTTTCACTGAGGCTCTTTATATATGTATACATCCGAAAATTTTAATTGACGTTTGTGACTGTGTACAAAATAGACCAGCACATATTGCAGTAAACATATTGAGAGGGAACACAAAGAAATATTTTCCCCCATGCGCCTAGGGGGCTCCGTAATAAACTAAGTTACCGTTATTGTTGTTATTTATAGCCATAATCTGGTTTTAAGGTTGAACAGGACCGTCTGGACAAAGTCTGGCCCAAACTTCGAGTTTTGGCGCGTTCGTCGCCGACGGATAAACACACCCTGGTTAAAGGTGAGCTGCTCCTCCAGCTTATCCTCTTCCTCCTCAGGTGCTCCTCCTCACCTTCTGCTCCTCTGTGTCAGGAATCATCGACAGCACGGTGGGAGAAACCCGACAGGTGGTGGCCGTGACGGGAGACGGCACCAACGATGGCCCTGCCCTCAAGAAAGCCGACGTTGGCTTTGCCATGGTAACCGTTTCCTTCACATCGTCTCGCTCCCAGCTGGAGCTTCTCCGCTCCAGCAGCCAAAGAGGAAAATGAAAGGCGTCTTGGATTCATGGAGGCTGCTGGGAGTTATGAATGGATAAATGTTCTCTCCTGCCTGCAGGGTTCCTCCTCCTTCAGATCAGATCAGAGATTCCTGGGATTCATGAGGAGTTTCTCCATTCGCACCAGTTTAGCTCCTAAAGCTTCACAGAACTGTTGGTCCATCCAGGCTGGATCTGTAATGTTCTGACCCAAAGTTAGAACAACCTTTAATGCAAATTCACTCATCATTCACAAATTTTGCCCAGAATTGCAATTATTCTACAAATTTGAGCAATTGGATATATTTCAGGATGTCCTCCTTTTCTGACCAGTCACTGGAACTCGGCTGAATTTTGACCAATCCCTGCAGCCCTCTTGTGATTTAACTGCCTGTTTCACGTCTCCTGAAAGGCGAACCGACAATATGAAAGCAGGTGTGACACTAAACTGTATAAAAATGTGCTGCAGGATTTGTTTCTGTTGTTTGAACAGAGTACGACTGGGACATGACCCCTGAACTCTTTCAGCTGTTCCAGGTGTTTAATCAGTTGTTGAGATGTAGACAGGTGATTTTCTGTGGAATCTTTAAACTTCTTTTACAAACGAGTCTTGAAAGCTGATTAACGCTGCTGCATTCAGACAATGTTAACTAAATGATGACCCATTGCAGTATATAATATAAATCTAGTTAACAAAATATTATAATGTTGACCTTACCTATTTTACATCCCTTATAACTTAGTTAATTCCAGGAATACTCCTCGTCAGCTTTAATATCTGTACAGAAGTTGTTCTCACTGTTTCTTTTCACATATTTAAAACACATTTTTATTGTCACACTAGAAGAGCAAAGAGTCAGTGAGGAGACATTAGACCAGAGGCCAGCAGCAGGATGATGATGATGATGATGATGATGCAGGGTTTTCTCAGGTAAGGAGGGATTATAACCTGATAAGAAAAGACAAGGAAAGGGAAAGTTATGTGCAAGAATTTAAACTTTTTTTGTAAAATCATGTTATGTCAAATATAAAGGCTTATAGATTTGCAACTTTTTGGAAAAGGTGCCACAAAATCATTAATAGTAAAAAATCCTGAAGAGACTCATAATATTACTGACCAGCAGATGGCAGCAAAGGACTGCTGTTAAGAATCCAGCTATGTGTTTAAAATTCATCAACAGGCATCAGTGGTAAATTTCCAACAGTAGTCTCCAAGGTTCGCCCATCCAGTCTACATTTGCTTTGTAGACTTAGAGAAGGTGTTGAGCCATGGGAACCCTGTGGGGGGCAGCATGGGGTATCACAGACTGTCGATCCACAGTTCTACTCTCATCTGTGGTCGTGGCTTTGAATTGAGACCAAATGAATGAAATTACGGTCAAAGCCATCAGAGGGAGACTTCTGCTGACCCGTCCTCTGTCCAGGATGCCTTCGTTAAATCTCCTTCCTGTTTTCATCAACTTTGTGGGCTCTGTCAGCATCCTGCAGAGATGTGCAGCTCATCCTGCGTGTCACCTGCAGGGCATCGCCGGTACCGACGTGGCCAAGGAGGCCTCCGACATCATCCTGACTGACGATAATTTCACCAGCATCGTGAAGGCCGTTATGTGGGGCAGGAATGTCTACGACAGCATCTCCAAGTTCCTGCAGTTCCAGCTGACCGTCAACGTGGTGGCCGTGATCGTGGCCTTCACCGGCGCCTGCATCACCCAGGTAACCATCCGCCTCTCCAGGCCAAAATATGATGGCCCCACGTTCCTGACCCACTGGTACAAACCAGAGTCATAAATTAGTTTGACTCTGGTACAGATACAGAGTACGGAAGCAAGGTTATTACAAATAACTAACATATTTTCATTAACTGAAATAAATAAAAATGGTAATTAATGGGGAAAAACTACAACTAACTGGAATTATGTCATATATAAAACTAAAGCATTCTGAATTTGTACATGTAATGTTCTTTTTTGTGTTTCTGAAGCTATTTATTAGCTTTTCGAACTGATGTGAAATAAATTTTTCCCCCACACAAGCAGCTTACGTCAGCTGTCGGCAAATTACGGCGTTTACCGAAATCCACAAAATGGCAACACCAAAAGTTGGGAGAAAACAACTTTCTGTTGGGTGTTCATTATCCAATCGATGTTTACGTCATCACAATCTTTAGGTGAATTCTGCTTCTGAAAATTTAATTCAAAATTAAGTATGAAAAAATTAAAACTACTACTATTTCTGATAAAAACTAAACTACAAGAAAGCAATATTTAACTACTAAAAACTGTCAAACTCTAATTCTGAATTAGACAAACAAAATAAAACTAAACAATAATGAAAAACTCTAAACTTCTCTAGTTTGAACTGATTTAATAAAAATATGTTTGTATGTAATTCCAGCCAGCTAATCGGATGCTAATCAACACATTAGTGAATTTGTGGCTTTTTCATTGAATCGTGTGATTTCCTTGGAAGAGCTCTGACTAAAACGTTGAAGAAGATGTTAGTTTCTGGTCGTCTTCATCGTGTCAGGAAGTGATGCGACCAGGAAGCTGAACTCCTGAACCGCAGCAGAGCAGAACATCTGGAGGCTGTGTGTTAATTAAGAACCTCACAGCTGGCACAGTGATAACTAACCGCTCTGCAGCACCGCCAGCATCAGCCTGAAACCATGGCAACCTGTCACATCCGCGCTCCTGAAATAAAACAGGAACTCAGCAGGTTTACAGGCTCGGATTTTCCCCCATCAGCAGCGGCGGTGCTTGGTGCGTGTTGAGCCACCGGCGTGTTGACACGCATCATTAGTCTGTCTGTGTTGAACAGTCTGGAGGTGGGGGTTTTAACGAAGTAAAATAATGTGACCAGATAGTGACAGCCTCACCGTGAACACACACTTCCTCTGCACCAACATGGCCTCCACATGCAGTGAGTCACTGTCATAAAATCATTTTATTTCTTCTACTGTTATTTAAAAGCTAAACATCAGGTTGTTTTAACCTGAATTTGTGATCTTGGCCTGGCACAATAACAAAATTTAGTCTGTGACAAACTCTGTAGAAGTTATTGCAATTTATGATAATTTTGTACTTTTGAGACCATTTTCAAATTTTCTAATAATAATGGCAAAATAATCCAAAGATCAATAAACTTTCAATTCTAATGAGCATTATACACTGGAGCTGAAGGACATTTAAATATCCAACATAAATAAACAAAACAACAAATCAAATGAATTATGAAGTGTCTGAAAACAAAATTCAAAAATAGACGAGTTGAGACCAAAACAGTCTGAAGAGTTTAGGTAGAAAGACAGAAAAGAAAAACAATAAATCATCCAAATGGAAGTTTGTTTTTAATTATCACGCGATTAATTGGTTTATCGCTTATTACGACTGATCAGATCATGACCTTTTACCTTTTGCCACATCACAACTCACATTTCCTTTAATCAGATAGGTGCAGAGGATTTAGACATTTCCTCATTAGATAATTGCTAATAAGGAAATTTGTTTGTGTTGGAGAAAAGATTTGAAACGGCGCCATATGGGAAAAAATTGATTTGAGCCTAAAATTAGCAAGATGGTGACTGTGTTGTCGGTTCCCATGGTGACAGACGTGGTTTTATCAGAGGACGGCTTGAAAAGTTAAGTTATAGTTGACCTCAGAGCTAACGGGCGCTCCGCTCTGCAGGACTCCCCTCTCAAGGCCGTGCAGATGCTGTGGGTCAACCTCATCATGGACACGCTGGCGTCCCTCGCCCTGGCCACTGAACCGCCCACTGAGTCGCTGCTGCTACGCAAACCCTACGGCCGCGACAAGCCCTCATCTCCCGGACCATGATGAAGAACATTCTGGGCCACGCCGTGTTCCAGCTCATCATCATCTTCACTCTGCTGTTTGCAGGTGAGCTTAGCTCAATGCTAACTGATGCTAACGGCGTGCAGGTTGTAGCTACAGCTTCTGGTCATTTCTCAGGGGAAAAGTTCTTCAACATCGACAGCGGCCGCAACGCTCCGCTGCACTCCCCACCATCTGAACACTACACCATCGTCTTCAACGTGTTTGTGATGATGCAGCTCTTCAATGAGATCAACGCCAGGAAGATCCACGGCGAGAGGAACGTGTTCGAGGGCGTGTACAAGAACCCCATCTTCTGCAGCGTGGTCCTGGGCACCTTCGCCCTGCAGGTACCATCATCATCATCATATTAAGTCCAAAATGTGGGTCTAAGCATTCTTTTTATTTAAATAAAAATAACTTTCTTTTGTTCAGCTGCTTAAGTTTCTATGAAGAAAAAGAGAAAATTAGATGCCCTCAACTCCCACATTCAAACTAAAGATGGTCAAAAAGAACAAAAAGGTATAAAATATAGGAAGTAATCCAAAATATATTAAAGTGGCAGTGAAAATCATTCAACTAAAGTCTTTAAACAAAAACTGTTTATAGACATAAATAACCAGAATAAGTCCAAGCAGTCTGATGCTTTGGAAGGTGCTGAATGTTGTCTGGTGGCTGTTGTATTCTAGATCTGTTTCCAGATGGAAAAGGAAGGATCTGACCCACATTCAGGTGGTGAGCAGGACAAACAGCCTGTGATGTTTGAAAAACGGTCCGTTTCTTTCTGTCCTGCTCAGATCATCATCGTTCAGTTCGGAGGGAAGCCGTTCTCCTGCGCGCCGCTCACCGTCGACCAGTGGTTGTGGTGCGTCTTCGTGGGAATGGGCGAGCTGCTGTGGGGACAGGTGAGTTCCTCCCACCTGCAGGGGAAATTTGTGCCGCTGCACCGTTGCCGTAGGAGGAGTTGCGAGGGAGAACGAGCCGCAGCATCAGCCCCTCTGTGGGTCGGTGAGGTAAAGATGAAAGCTGGCTGGATCGAACCAAACAGCTGTGCAATAAATTAATTAACCACACTATAAATTAAAACAAATGACTTACATTTGCATTTTGTTTCTCTCTTTTCACCAAAAACTGAATGATTAAAGGCTTCAGTTCGGTGTTTTGGTCTCAACTAGACAATTTTGTTTTTATCATTTATTTTATTTGTTGTCTCTGTTGTTTTGTTTATTTTAGATAAAGGTGGCCGATATGGACTTAGTTTTATTTTGTTGTACTATTGTGATAAATATGAAAGTGACAATAAGAACCATTTATTGCTAATTTTTTAAGCAACTTCAGTCAGAGCTCAACAATTACTAATCTTGAAAATTATTTTTAGGATACCAGTTAGATAAAGAAGTGTGATTTGTATCATTGAACTGCACACAGTAACTGTATTAATCACATTTTCAAATTTAGGGATATTTATACTCTCATTAACAAAAAAATTGAGAAAATTGTAAAATTAACAATCCTGATAATGCAAAGACTTTTAGGAGTTTTAAACATTTTTAATTGGAATTTATTGATCTTCGAGAATCTATTCTTGCAATATCATATTATATTATCATTATTGTGACAGGCCTGCCAACAACAAACATAGAAACTAGAATTATTCAAACTACGGACTAAATGTTGAAACTCCTCCACTGCTGGTGGAGCTGGGCTGAACCAGTCCAAACTGGCAGGATGTTCTGGAAAGTGGGAAGTAAGCTGGTTCTCCCCTCCTCAGCTGATCTCGGCCATCCCGACCCACCACCTGAAGTTCCTGAAGGAAGCGGGCCACGGCATCACCAAGGAGGAGATCCACAACGAGGAGATGACGGAGGACACGGACGAGATCGACCACGCAGAGATGGAGCTGCGGCGAGGCCAAATCCTCTGGTTCCGAGGGCTCAACCGGATCCAGACCCAGGTACCGCTGACCGTCCCGCTTCAGACTGGTTTTACTCCTTACATCAAAGCTCTGCTGAACTGGGCAGTGTGTCGCCTTCACAGTGTCTCCAGTCTTCAGCGACAAGACCGAGGTTCTGTTAATTTCACACTCTGCTGCAGATCCACAGTCCAGAACCTCTTCATTAAAACCTCTAATTAAAGCAGCAGGCGACCCGCTGACAGGCGCAGACACTCCGACTGACACCAGTCAGGTTTACAACTGGTTACCAGTTCAACCAGTTCCGACAGACCACAGGACCAGTTATCCTCTAGTTAGTGCAACACTTACACACATTGGCATGGCGTGTGCGTGTGTGTGTGTGTGTGTGTGTGTGTGTGTGTGTGTGTGTGTGTGTGTGTGTGTGTGTGTGTGTGTGTGTGTGTGTGTGTGTGTGTGTGTGTGTGTGTGTGTGTGTGTGTGATCCTACTACAAGATCAACACACATTGAGCATCAACATGTCCAGTCGGTCCATTCTGTCCCTGTTGGCTTCATTAGCCTTGATGCTAACACCCACGTTCAGTAGCAGCAGCCAACATACACACACACACACACACACAGTTCGTAGTTCTTCTGGGTAAACAGAAGCAGCTCAGTGTATAAATTATCTCTGCTGCTGATTCATTTCTGCATCAATTAACTGGAAACGATCAATTAAGGTACATCCAATCGCATCGACACATTTAAACTCCTATTTCATTCCTGGTTGTTTTTTGCTTTTTATTAATCGTTTATTTATACAGAAAAATCTCTTGAAACTCATTTACAAGAGAGACTCTGTTACACATAAAAATAAAAATAACATAAAAACAACAATAATAGAATCTACTTAACACTAATAAAAGTCAGTACACACGCTGTAGCCAGTCAGATCCAGTTTAATAAACTGGTTGGTAAAACAGGATCAGTCTTATTATTAAGCCCAGCGCCTGTGAAACAGCCCAGACTCCTGAGCAAGCATATGGTAATGGTGGGGAGAAACAACTCCCTGCTAGCAGAAAGAAACCTCCAGCAGAACCAGAAACTCAAAGCTGTTTCTGTTTTCCATCAGTGACTCTTAAAGACACAGCAGCCTTTTCCAGTGCTTCACTGGTACTGGTGATACTCAGCACCAGTCTGCTGCTGCACCAGAACGAATAACTGCTCTTATCATGAGCTGGAGGCGGGCTCATGGGGAACAGCGACCAATTAAAACGCACCGCGCTCCTACAAATCTCCGCGCTTCAACAGGAAGATGACAGATTAGCATCTGGTTTTTGGCAGAAATATAATAAAATCATGATAGCTAAAAATAGTCATGCGCTCTTCTTCTAATCGTTCCTGCCTTCAGAAAAACCATTTAGGAATCGACTATAGATCCAGAAACACTAGAAAGAACAGCTCTAATGGCAGCAGCTGTAGATTATCCTTCAGATGGAGAGCAGTAGGAGAAAGAACCAGAGTCCTACAGCAGCCTAACTACAGCGGTAACCCAGGATAAGCCAAGCCTGTCTGTCTGGTCTTCCACTGAGGAGGATTCGATCAACACCAGGAGCCCAACAGGTCCGAACGTTTCAGAGAGAAGAGATCCAGTCGAAGCGCTCACCTGAGAAATAAGAAAGCGTTTCCTCTTGTTGTCGTGTATCAGTACGATCGTCCTGCTGGGACAGGAGGACGGCAGGACGGGGAGGCGAGCTAATTAGCTTCTTATCTCTCCATGCTCCTCTTCGTCTCGCCCTCTTCCCTAATGCGGCGGGGCGGCGCTGCTCCGCTTGACGCCTCAGCAGTCAAACACAGAGGGAGAATAATTGGTACAAGCAGCACCTCGTCGCTGAGACTTTATCAGTCATTCCAAATGACATTTCTCCTCTTTGTGCTGCTTGGTTCCTCTGAGCGCTCTCCATTCATCCAGCTCCGCTTCCGCCCCTCAGATGAACGCGTCTCTGAATCACAGCGGTTCCTCCATGACTTCCTCTTCTCTCTGCCTCCATCTTTGTTTCTCCCTCATGGTTCTGTTTCTTCACACATCAAACTCACATCAGGACTGTGATGTTTGTCCTGAAGGGAACCAAAGCAGAACGTTATCCTGGTTTCCGGTCTGATTCATTTTCTGATTTCTAGCGAAAACATAAAACATTTTTCTTTAGTGAACAACAGATCAGATGCTCAGATTCACAGCGTGAACCTCAATGTCTTATCCAGCGGTGAACATTGGTAAACGGTTAGCTGTGCCGACCGCTAATCACAAACATTAGTTCCACTAACGCTTAAGCACTAAATCCAGCCATCTTGATACCCTCATGTGTTATTTTGCCCTGGACTGGATCAAATCAGCCGTTACACACCTTCCTGTTCGGGTTGCTCTTCTTTGGATCAGATCTTCCTCTAAAGGTTTCAGTTTTACAGAAGTTGACTTTTTCTAACTCTGCTGCTAGTTTAGCCATATTGACCACAATAAGCATGAGAGACATGGATAGATTTTAAACTGTAGATGATAAATAAACTTTCTGCTCCACATCCTATGAGGAGAGGAAACATTACTGATGAAGTCATCACCCACTTCAAAATAAGAGCATGAATTTTGCTTCTCGACTTAAGAGTCGAGAAGCAAAACTTCAACACAGATGTTGAACTTTATTCAACCAAAACTTTACGAAACAGCCAAATTAATTATCACTTTCAAATTGTTTCAGAAAATTTAGGGGAAACTAAGAGCGCTAAACCTTTCAAAGTCAGCAACAAGCTCAACCGCCTGCTGCAGGCTGCAGCTTAGGTTTAAACATCTCCAGTTCAGATTGGGAGCAGAACATCAACTTTCAAATTCTCAGCTTGATTCAGGTCTGGTCTTTGACTAGGCCACTGAACAAGGTTCAGGGTTCTGCTCCATCCCAGGCTCAGGTCTTCTGCAGCCTCTAAAAGGTTTGCTACCAGGATTTTCCTGATTTAACTCCATCTAGCTTCAACTCCCCCGTCTTTGATGCAAACCAACATTAAGCAGCTTCTGAAGAGAATTTGTTGTTTAAGATGCATCACAGTCCAGAGAACTGCATAAAAATGAGAACCACACTTTACAGAGTATATTCAACAGTCTGAAAATTATCCATCATATCATAAAACGTCAGTGAAGTACATAGAAATGTGCGGCTCTGATGTCAGAAAAGCAGAGGGTTTATTTTCTGCTGATGGACAGAAATCCAGCGGATCCATTTTCAGATGTAGTTCTGGTGGATTTCTGGAGCCAGAGGAACCTTTCCACTGACCTCTGACCTCCTAACTCTGTTCAGGTCTGACTTTGTTTAACTCTCTGTCCTCTCTAACACCTCTGCGGACGTGTCCCCGTTCTGCTGTCCTCTGCTCTGTCTCTGCTGTCTAACTGTGGCTGTCCTCCCCCAGATGGATGTGGTCTATACCTTCCAGACGGGCCAGGCGGCGGTGCCCGGTGCCCTGCGCCGCCAGCCGTCCGTCGTCAGCCAGCACAATGACGCTACTGCCGCCAAAACTCTCTCTAGCCCCACCCACGTAGGGCTTAGCTCCTCCTCTCTCTTACCAACTCGGCTGGGGCTCCGGCCCCTGCTGCTGCTTCCTCCTCCGCCGCAGGCAGTGAGTGTGACTGGAGGCCGGCTCACACAGCGCCTCATCCAGGCTGGACTCTGTTTAATCTGCATGAAACCGCGTCTGTCCCTGGCAGGTGTCTGCATGTCCTCGTCTGATCACAAACTAGACAGGAGGTCAGGAGAGTTTAGTTCTGGTCAATGATCTCAAAATGAGCAGCAGTCAAACCAGAACCAGACGCAGCCTTTCCATCCAGAAAGAGTTGAAGAGAACTGGAGCATCCCTCCAGGGGTCAGGGGTCAGAGCTCAGGAGTCCAGGCGTAGAAGGGTCAGAGAACATGCAGACAGCCTCCTCTGCTTCATCTTCATCTCTTTCGATTTCAGCTTGCTCTCTGCCGTTTCTTCTGCATGTTCTGGACGTTTGACCTGTGAACTGGTGTGAAGACCTGGTGAGACTTGCAGCCGTTGAGTCGGAAACAGAAGAGAAGAAGGCTTCTGATTGGTCGCCCTGCAGGCTAAACAATCCATAAATCCGCTGCTCAGAGGCAGCAGCCTGGTTACCCAGATCATTTTATGGCTTTAAATCCTTCGGGCTCCGCAAGTCTCTCATGGTTTAACATCCAGCAGTGTCAAAAGTTTGTGTGCGTGTGTGTGTGCACGCTCAGCTGCAGTTCTCCTGTAATTCAGCTTTGAGCTGCAGGTTATTAATTATAATAGAGAGTGTGTGCTGGTGCGTGTAAATCAGGGTGATCGGCGGCAGCCGTCTCATCAGAGGACAGGCCTCCAGAGGACAGAGCGGGATTATATTGGGTTGCGTTATCCGAAGGCTCCCAGTGACCCGCAGGGGCCCGACCTCCTCTGAGCCCTGGTTTCTGGTTCTGAGGCTGCGGTTGTCACAACAGAATAAAGGCTGCAGGAATTACGTTTACGAGGAATCTAACGGCAGTTCAGGTGGAAGTGTGACTGTTCAGAGTTCTTTCTGCTGATCCAGAAAAGAACAGGATATTAGTCAGGATTTACCTGAGCGTCCCGTCCCGGTTTGTGGTGAAATGGTTGATCTTGTTCAGGATCGGGGAGCGTTGCACGTTTTCATCCCAGACAGAAATTTGTCCACAGGGAGCCGATCTCTATAGAAACAAATATCTTCTCTGCATTGTTTTTTGTTCCAGAGAAGTTTCCATCTGCATTAACTCGCACAAATCCGCTCTGAGCGTTAACAGCCCAGACCACAGGGGGCAGCGTAGAGCAATGCCAAGTCATGTGTCAGCCAATCAGATTGCCTCAAAATGAACTCCGCTTTCTGTTAGGAATTAAACGGCCAATCATCTGTGGAGCCTGGTCTGCAGGTTGAACTACTTTTAAATTGTGTATTAGAACATAAAGTTAATAAACAAAAAGGTAAGTTTGGCAGGTAGCCAGTAGATTTCTGTGCTTTATTATAATATTATATTATAATGTGTGGGATTCTAAATTTCTTTTTGTGTTTATTTAAAAAGTTTTATGAAATCTTCATTTTGATCAGAGTTTTTATGAATAATTGTTTTTACTGATATTAAACTGAGTTTTTATGTGGATGAAAGGCAACAATGCACATAGATGTATTAGTTTTCCCAGATAATGACTACATGTGGACAAAGCCTTAAACTTCAGGAAGTCTGAAAACCCAGTCCACAACTGGACTGGGTTTCTGGTTTGGACCACCTAGTCTCTAACTGGGAGTCTTTTTATGGAATTCATAAAGAAGTCTATGGTTTTTAAAATGAAAGCGCTGCTGCTGCATCACTCAGGATCGGTGAGGAACTGTGATGGAAAACAATACGGGCTCTAAATGTGAGGAACATTTGAATGCTCTCCTGGTTGGAATAGTTTGTGCTGGGATCAATGGTGTGAACTATCCTACTGCATCAGAATGGAGATTAAGTAAAGATAAGCACATTTCTGGGAATGAAGCTTCAATATTCTATTAAGGCCCTTCAGTGATTATTATTGTTATTAGAAACTGATCAGAAAGTAGGTCATGCCGTCAGTTTAACTTTCATGAATGAATCTTTGAGTGTAGATGGAGTGTTTGCTTAGTGTTGCATGAGATTCGGTGACAGTTTGACTCAGTTGTTGCTGTGATGTCGTAGTAGCGATTGTGCCGGTTCTGCAGCAGTGATGGAGATCGGGTCGTTTATGCGGAAGGCAGGCAGGAGCATCCTCTGTGTGATGGGGTGTTAAGAATAACTAGTGTGTGTGTGTGTGTGTGTGTGTGTGTGTGTGTGTGTGTGTGTGTGTGTGTGTGTGTGCGCGGTGCGTGTGTGTGTGCGCGGTGCGTGTGTGTGTGTGCGCGGTGTGTGTGTGCGGTGTGTGTGTGTGTGTGCGGTGCGTGTGTGTGTGTGCGCGGTGTGTGTGTGTGTGTGTGTGTGTGCGGTGCGTGTGTGTGTGCGCGGTGCGTGTTTGTGTGTGTGCGCGGTGTGTGTGTGCGCGGTGTGTGTGTGCGGTGTGTGTGTGTGTGCGGTGCGTGTTTGTGTGTGTGCGCGGCGCGGTGTGTGTGTGTGTGTGTGTGTGTGTGTGCGGTGCGTGTGTGTGTGTGCGGTGCGTGTGTGTGTGTGTGCGCGGTGCATGTGTGTCCATATTCAGCTGCCTCCAACATGATGAGCATTTTTGGTCCTCTTTTGTTTCATGTCTTTCTCGGTTTTTCTCCAAAGTTTGCAGTTATTGTCCTTTGTTGCAATTGTTGTGATCTGTGGTTTTACGTCTCCCTGCCAAGATCCGGATGCATCCCCACACTCCATGATCCTCCCAATCAGCCCATGAATGTCCCATCAGCCCCGCTGCCCGTAGTGTTCTTGCTGTTCATCTTCCTGCTGCTGACGTGTCCTCTCTGTTTGTTTCAGATTAAGGTGGTGAACGCGTTCCGTAGTTCCATCTTCGAGCTGGAGAGTCCACATTCCCGTAGCTCCATCCATAGTTTCATGGCCCATCCTGAGTTTTTGACGCATTCTGAGGAGGAGGCGCCTCGGTTCAGCACCATTGAGGAGAACAGCGACGCGATCGAGGAACTTCCCTGATCCTCGGCAAAGGAAAAGCACCTGGCAGCAAGGAGCTCCTCCTCCTGCCCCTCCTCTTCATCACCGCCACCAGCTGGGTTGTTGCTCTGAGGAGGGGCATCATGACTCACCCTCTCATCAGCACACATCTTCGCCCCACGCCGTCTCCATCCTGACTGTGATGTTGTTCAGTTTGTTCCTCCATCACCTCCATCCCATCAGCTGGGGGCGGAGCCTCCTCACCAGGAACACCTGCTTCTCGTTTAGACTCCCTCGGTTCACTTATAGAAATCTCCCTCCCCTTTTCACCTCTGCATACTGCAGTGCATCGTGGGAAGGCAGTTTGTTTGCTACCCAACACGGCAGCATCCAGAGACACGCTCTCCGACCTCGTCCTGTCTGAGCCGGGTTCTGTGTCCCCCCGGCCCGGTTTATCCGCAGCGTCTGTCTTAACATTCTGCATGTTTTGATTTCCTGTTGAGTCGCATGACGGCCGTGAGTCCAGACGCGTCTCTGTTCAGAGCTCCATGATCTTCCTGTCTGTCCCACGTTGGAGAACCTGAAGGAAACATCCGGCAGATCTTCTGCCGTTTTGCCACGACGTGGCTGGCTCTGTTGATCACTACCGTCGCATTAAACACTAACCGTATCGTTTCGTTCCCCTCCCCTGTGACGCCGCACGGCGTCACAGGGGAGGATCGGGTTAAAGGGGTATTATGTATTTTCCAGGCACATAGTGCCATTTCATAGCACAGTCAATAACTATTGTACCTTCAGTTCTAAAAATGCTGTATATATCAATCATGACTGAAAATAAATTTCTTTACAGTTTAACGCCTTGAAATTGGGACTCTCACCTGTAGAGGCTCCTGCTCTTTGTGACTCTTTCCACTTAGAGGAAAAAGCAGCGCTCAGTTAAACGACAGAGTGGTGGCCATGCAGATTAAAGGATTTCTCAAAAATGCATGAAAGAATCAAGGCAACACTCCAGTAATAACATCATAACTTGATGTACAGCTCAAAATTTTACATAATGTCCCCTTTAAAAATAATGATAAAAATCAGAAATCATTTCAAACAGCAGTGTGTTTAGCGTTTGCCCCTCACTGAAACATAGAGCCCTCTTTTCCTGCTTCGCATGACGGAGGCCTGGCTGCAGCTCCACCTCTAGGTCACAGAAGCCCCGCCCCCTCAGGCAGCTGCATGCAGCTTCCTCTGCTCCCTGTCATCACACTAAGGAATTTAAACATTCAGAACAAGCAGACTGCAGTATTGATCCATTGGTTGGATCAATGCAGGAAGTTCACTGGAAGTGGAGCCATGAACAGAGTCAGCATGCGGCTGCAGACACAGACTGCCAGAGCGCAGAGCTTTTAAAGTCAGTGATGGACAGTCGGCTCAGTGTCTGCAGCTACAAGATCCTGGGTCCCTCGTCCACAAGCCAGGAGCTCTTGGAGCTCATGGATCGCTCGCCGCTGGGCGTTCCCTGGCCGCTGGCGTTCCCTGGCGCTGGGTTCCCTGGTCGCTGGGCGTTCCCTGGTCGCTGGGCGTTCCCTGGCCGCTGGGCGTTCCCTGGCCGCTGGGCGTTCCCTGGTCGCTGGGCGTTCCCTGGTTGTTCCCTGGTCGCTCGGCGGTCCTGGAGCTCCTGAGTCGTCTGCCATCTTTTTTTTCTTCCCTCGTTTGTCTGATTTTCGATGAGCTGTCAGTGACATCACACGGCCAGCAGCAGAGCCGGCGTCTGCTCATCACCGTTACCCCGGCGGCACCGCTCTGCCCTGCTGTGTTGGACAGGCGTTAGTGTGGAGGCCACGCCGAGGTTTATAGGAGACTGATGATGTCACCAGTCGGCCTATAGAGTTGAATCCACTGTGTCCCCGCCGCTTCCCGCAGCGGTGCGTCCGATCCTTTCAAACAGCCGTCGGCCCGTTTGGGTCGCCCCAAACGGAGGCGACGTGCCACTACTGCCATATTTTCCATGACTCGGTTAATCTTTTCCCCTCGACGAGCTTTTTCTAAGTACTCAGAGCCATATTTTCTAGGATGTTGTTTTCCGCCATTATTCCAGAGGCCCCACCCTGCCCTCCAAACGACCAAAAAGCCAGGAGAAACTCTTCAGTTGTCACTGCCGAACCGTGTTTGAAGGACCTCTCCGATGTTTACATGAGAAGCGGTTTGACCCCTCATCTGTTCCTCTCCTCAATCTTACTGTCTAACTGAGTAGGAAACCTTTCTTGCATGGTGTTCATATAAAATTCAATGTTTTGTTCATTTTTTACAATTCTTCTGTATTTTTATATTGAGTACTTTTTAATATTTTGCAGATGTATGAATCTGTGTACAGGCTGAGGAGTTTGGTGAGCGTTCAGAACCTGAACGATAGGAATCTGCCGTGGACTCTGTTTTTACAGCTCCCAATGTTTCTGCCACGTGTGGCGTCGAGTCACCTGACGTTAGGGCTCCCAAACCTGCAGTGACTTGTTTACTTCCTGTTGGCTGTTCACTTCCCATCAGCCCCTCTGGCTCCAGTTTGGTTTCTTTGTTGTAACGGTTCTGACTTGGTTTGAGTCCAACATTAAACAGGAATGTATCATTATTCCTCCAACTTCTGGGTTTGTTTTTTCACTGGATCATGTTGTGTCCGGCTCCAGGCTCCGCCCCTCATCCAGAGCTCGGCGCCGGTTGGGTCGGTCATCCGTTTACAGCCTCTGTGGGACTCTGGGTCAGAACCGGGCCTACGATAACCAACCCTGAGGTCAGTGTTCAGACCCAACCACATTTCAGCCTCAGTTTGGTCTCTGATCTGTTTCAACACGGAGACGATTAACCAGATGGATCTCAGAACAGAATTTCAGGAAAACCTGAACCGGGTTGGCCCGGGTCCAGAGGTTCTTCCAGAACTCAGACTCATCCATCCTGTAGATTCTGACTGCAGCAGTTAGAGCTGAGTCTTTTCCGGTCCGGCGCCGGGTTCTGGAGCCTAGAGCAGGACACAAGGTGCCGCTGCGCTCCGCCCGACTTTCAGCCTACTGTGGAAAGGGCGGGACTGTTCAAGCTCTCTGACATCACTTCCTCTTCCTGCTGAACTCCTGCCCCTGACCAGCAGGTGGCGCATGTGTAAATAATGTCGCATAGTGAATGAGGCGAACCAGGAAGTGGGAGAGCGGCCAATCAGCCAATCATCACCCAGCATAGCTTTAAGATTGTTCTGCCAAAGTCGTTTCCATCCCCCCCCCCTCCCTCGGCCTGGTTCAGGATTGTCCCTCTGCTCTTGCCGTAGCCTCAGTGGCTCCGCGGGGCGTCCGGCTGCTTGGACCTCATCCCGGACGCCCCTGCAGCAGCAGAACTTTGTTCTCCATCATGAAGGAGCTTCTTCTGTTCCAACCCTGCTCATCGTCTGCAAAACGAACTGGAACATCGCAGCTGGAAGCCACATTTACATTCCGTGTGTATTTATCTCCGATATGTACGAATATATATCAGATTTAAATATTAAGGCAGGAATCCGGTTCTCTGTTTGAACTTTGTTGCAAAAAAGACTGAAAGTTTTAGTTTCTGTAATTACTATGATAGCCAGTTATAGGCGTTGGTGTTATTTTTGTATAAACATGATATCATCTATGTGGCATGCATGACATATATACAGACTTTGGTGGTTTAAAGCAATATGTCCGACCTGGTGCGATTGGTTCCGTCGTGTTCTGTGTAGCCAGAAAAAACCCAACAAAACCCAGAAAAAAGAATCAGCAGCTGTTCATCCGTGTTCAATGTTCTGTGTTCTGCATGTTTTAGTACGGAATGACGCATCCCAACTGTTGACTCCACTCACACACACACACACACACACACACACACACACACACACACACACACACACCGTCAGTCTCCGTTACACTGAAAGGAGAAAACACTGAGCAAACCTGGAATCTCATCTTTCTGTTCCCATCACAGCACTCAGGTTCACACACTGTCCCTGAACTCATCGCTCACTCTCACCAATCACATCAATTAATCTCTGGATCAGAACCCAAACTTTCCCATCAGCAGTTTGTCGTCCACATGCTCCAAAAATTAGAATCTGACGTCAGAAATTCAGTTTCTGACAAATGATCTGCTGCTTTACGTATAAACGTCTTCCAGATTTGTCTGAAACATTTCTTCTTCTCTGCAGTTGTTGGACGGTTCCATCCGACCTGGTTCCGGTGTCACACCAGATTCTGAGGCGCCCCCAGATCCGGTGTGACACCGGATTAACAGGAACCAGTCTGAAGCTGTAAAACATGAGACATCCAGACTGTCTGGAACATTTTGGAGGGTTTTATTTTTTTGGCTGAATATTTTTGCCTCCTCTGCAGCTTCCATGTGACGCTGAGAGGAAAACCTGAAATATTCCAACAAATCCATTTCAGCTCAAATTTAAGAGCCCAATGAAATTATTATTATTATTAGAAATATTGTTATTAAAGTAAACAAAAGCTGATGCAGTCAGAAATGTTTGAAAAATGTTTTTCAGAATAAAAGCCTGTATTTACTGCTTGACATCGACTCAGATTGTATTTCATTTAAAACTCATCTGGTTCCCAGCAGCAGCTTCAGATCTGCAGCGCCCACCACCTGGCTGCCACTGGTTGCTGCAGACACCTCAGTGTTGGTGCTCAGTTCTGGTTCTGAGCCTCGGTTTAGATTTGGACCAAAACGTCCTGTGCTTCCCCACGTGTGTGTGTGTGTGTGTGTGTGTGTGTGTGTGTGTGTGTGTGTGTGTGTGTGTGTGTGTGTGTGTGTGTGTGTGTGTGTGTGTGTGTGTGTGTGAGACTCATCCTGTCCGTTTGTCTCGTCCTCCTGTTTGCTTCGATCTATGCAACAGAATAGTCCCGTTCTCCACCTGCTTCCTCCTCCTCCTCTTCCTCCCTGTCCGCTCGTCTCATTGGTTCTGTGACCTTCGGTTCTCCGTGCAGACAGAAGCGCGACACACACACGCTGATGGATGCGCGTGTGTGTGTGCACACACTCCTGGTTTTTCTTTACTCTTTTGTAAGATATGATCATGTGGAATGCCCTGGTCTTAGTGTCATGTCGTTTGAACAAAAGATGATAATCAAGCAACTGAGAACAAGTTGTTACATAAATATATATATATATATATATAAATATATACAAATCTATATACATAAAAAATAAAGCCATTAAAATTTGAAATAAAACTGTGGGTTTGTGGTTCTTTTAAAGATGAAACAGTTTTTAGTTTCTTTGTGATTTATAAATGCTGGGTCGCCCAGTTCTCCAGAACCACAGTTTGGATCTGCAGGGTTTGGTACCTGACGGCTGAATCGGGTTTGCTGCCATCCGTCCACTCCTCCTGCCCTTCCTGCTTTACTCGTTGGGCCCGTTAGATTTCATTTAATTCAGGCTTAATGAAGTTTCTTCAAACATTTCATTTTTATTGGACTCTTTCTTCCCACTTTATTCCTTCTAATTAAAATAATTTTTGCAGTGAGGCTCAGAGCTGCAGCTTCTCTCTTGTTCTCTAATGTAAACACGTTGGTTAAAATCCTGGATATCTAAAGCTTCTCTCAGCAGGTTTTGCTTAAAACTGAAAACATTTTCTGTATGGAAGGTCATGACTGTGACTGAAGGGCAGTCGTTCGCAATCAGAAGGTTGAAGGTTCAATTGCAGCTTCATCCTGTTGGGAATATTCACAGACTGTGTCTCAGCAGATTGGGAAGATGGAATCTATATGGACCTCATGGCTTCCAGGAGCTGAAGCTTTTTACTGCCTTTGGTTTTGCTGTTGCGGTGACAGAAGCTGTGAGGCTGGAAGCGCTGGGCCTTCTGGGGAACAAAAACGGCCTCGAATTCGGACAGGCTATGAAAGAGACTTTCAGTTGGCATCAAGGAACTACTGGAAAATTATTCAGCAACTCAGAAGGAAGAAACTGAGCTCATAGCAGTATGTGGGGGAGGGGAGCTGCAGGCCCAAACTGAGGACATCGTAGGGCAGCAAAAAGAGACGTTTAAGGAGTTCCTTAATCCAGTCACCATGTGAGAATGACATCCATCCATTATAGTACACACTTATCCATAGAGGGGTCACAAGGGATGCTGGTGCCTGTCTCCAGAGGTCAACGGACGACCTCTGGACCTCACTTCTGCTCACAGCAACACTCAGAGTCGCTTCAATTTTAACAAGTTCAAACTGAGAAAAACAACAACAGAGTTTAATTTTCTGTATTTATTACAGGTTTATTCTGATCTGTGCAGAGAAAAATGAAAGCTGTTAATCAGTGAATTTTATAGCAGCTCAAAGGTTGAATTCTGGATTCTGCATTGAAACACAACCTGAATCAGAACTGAACTACAGCAGGAATCAGTTTGTGATTTTTGGTTCCTGCAGAGAGACGATCAGATTCACCTCCAGACCAAACGAGCAGCTTCCTCTCAGTGAGTCCAGCTGCAGGAGAGAAAAGTGGAAACTGCTGCTTCCAGCTGCTCACACTGAAGGCGAGTTGGACCAAAAACACTCAGAGTTCAGTGACTGACTGGACCTTCTGTGTTTTCAGCTTCACTCAGAGACAAAATGGCTTCCAGACCAGAGGAGGATCTCTGCTGTCTGCACTCTGAGAAACTCAAACTCTTCTGTCTGGACCATCAGCAGCCAGTTTGTCTCGTCTGCAGAGATTCAGAAAAACACATCAAGCACAGATTCAGAGCCATCGATGAAGCTGCTCAGGATCACAGAGAGAATCTGAAAACATCTCTGGAGCCTTTAAAGAAGAAACTGGAGCAGAAGAAGGAAGTTAAAGAGGAGTTTGATCAGACAGCAGAACACATGAAGGTCCAGGCCCGACACACAGAGAGGCAGATTGTTGAGCAGTTTAAGAAGCTTCATCAGTTTCTAGCAGAGGAAGAGGAGGCCAGGCTGGCTGCACTGAGGGAGGAAGAGGAGCAGAAGAGAGGGATGATGGAGGAGAAGATGGAGGCTCTGAGCAGAGAGATAGCAGCTCTTTCAGACACAGTCAGAGCCACAGAGGAGGAGCTGAGAGCTGAAGACGTCTCATTCCTGCACAACTACAAGGCTGCAGTGGAAAGAGTCCAGCGCTGCCCCCTGCTGGAGGATCCACAGCTGCCCTCAGGAGCTCTGATAGACCAGGCCAAACATCTGGGCAACCTGGCCTTCAACATCTGGAGCAACATGAAGGACATGGTGACCTACACTCCTCTGGTTCTGGACCCAAACACGGCTGGGCCAAAAGCCTTCTTATCTGAAGAACTGAGCGCTTTGACACATGGAGATGAACAGCAGCTTCCTGTCAACCCAGAGAGGTTTGCTCGCTTTTGTTCGGTTCTCAGTTCTGAGGGTTTTAACTCCGGGATCCACAGCTGGGATGTTGAGGTTGGAGACAGTGAAGACTGGATGCTTGGCATGTTGGCAGAGTCTGTCCAGAGGAAGGGAAACTACCAGTCTGGATTTTTGCATATTGGGATTGTTGAATGTAAATCCTCAGCAGCATCTCCACCAGTTGCTCCTGCAGTTCTTTCATTAAAGAAGAATCTCCAGAGATCAGAGTGAGCCTGGACTGGGATGGAGGAAAACTGACGTTCTGGACACTAACACACCTTCACACAGAAGATGTTTCTTACATCACCGCTATGGATAAAGCAGAAATCGTATCGATGAAGATTTCAGCCAGCAAACAGCAGCTCTGATGAAACTCGCAGGAAATTTCCATCTGGTTGTTTTTATGAGCAGGTAAATATTGAAAGCTGTTAAACGCTGCAGTCCCCATTTGGCCCCATTTGGTTTCTGATTATTTCCGAGGCTGGAGCGCCATCTGGTGGGCTCCTCCAGTACAACACTTTGTCAAATCTTTAAACTGATTTTTTTTTTTCCTTTGCCATTAACAGTGGCATCTATTGAGTTCAAATAATTCATTCATCTGTTAACTCTTCTACCAGCTGTCAAAAAACATTTTTCTAAACGAATATACTTTATTTTTTATCCTGTGGGATTAATAACAGACTGGCAACCTGTCCAGGTGACCCCTAATGACCTCTACAGGGTCAAGGGTGTGTGAAAATGGATGAATTAATAACGCATATTCATTTCATAATCAGTCTAAAATCTGTCTATAGGGACTTTCTTTTTAGTCACTGAAAATATTTTCAGATGATAATTTAAATAGACATAAAACGCAGCAAAATATAAATACGTCTTGAAGTTGGAGAGTGGCGAATGACAAGGTAACCTTAATTACCTAATTTAATCAATGGACTTCAGATGTTTTAGAGAAAACTGAGGCAAAATATGATCAATTAATTTTTCTCTGGTTGAACTGAAAGTAGAGCGAGCTAGCTTTTTTGTCCCAATGAAATGTTTTCCTATCATCAAAATATCACACAAAGATAATCTGAAAGGTTTTAAAATAATTGGGGAAAACATCAATTTAAGATGTGAGCTAAAACTTCAGCTGATTGGTTGTTCCACATCAACAAAGTAAGAGTATTTAATTTAAAATATTGCTTTTTTTATTGAATGAAACTGAGTGCATTAACACAGAAAACCCAACAAACACGTTATCATCTCTAATCTACGGAAGCCTCGAGGGGACATGGAGGTTTTTCTCTTTGCGTTCTCGAGCAGTAACGTTCCAGTCTGTTGTAAGGTTTTCCATCAACTGTTAGTGTGAAATCTGAAGTTTTATATCTTTCCTGTAAAGTTTTGAAAAATACCAACTATTTGGAGTATTTTTGAGTTATTTTCATGGTTTATTAATAAAGTGCTGTTTCCCATCTCAATGTACAAACATGAAAACGCAACTAATACATTTGATTTCAATAAGTTTTTCACACCAAAGAGTAAAAATGATGACAAGTTTTTTACTGAGGCTCATTAAAGGCCTTTGAACTTTTAAATTAACTTATTAAACTGCTAATTTAAACGCAAATGAAAAAACTTTCCCCATGTCCCTCAGGGGCCTCCGTACAGAACACTTAAACTAGTCAGGGAACCGGATTGAACCGCCACCATCTTCATCACTCCTCCTGCTGCTTCTTGGACATCATCACCATCCTCCCCCTCCATCACCACCTTGTCCTTGGCGGAGCACGTCACCGCGATGAAGGCGAACGACATCTTGATTTTACGCACTTCCGCCTCGGCCAGAACCTCCTCGCCGACGAAGAGGGGCGCCAGGAAGCGGATCTCCTGGTACAGGAAGACGCTGCCGGGGCCGGGCATCCGGGTGCCGAGCACCGCCGACATCAGGCCGGTGATAGGACGCCGTGGACGATGGCGCCTCGAAGGACGTGGTTTTGGCGTAGGCCGGGTCGACGTGCAGCGGGTTGCTGTCGCCCGTTAGCTCGGCGAACAGCTCCACGTCGCGCTTAGAGAACGCCTTTGTCAAGGAGGCGCGCTGGCCGACGTGGAGGCGACGTCCGAGGGGCGGGCCAACGGCAGGCGGGGGGGCGGAGCCTGACGCAGAGCGGCGTCCAGGCTGACGTCATCCTGCTTCAGTCCAGCTGCAGGTCGCGGCTGTTTCCGGTCAGCGCCAGGAGGAACGGAGACACCTGAACGCACCACGAGGCCAGAGTCAGAAAATAAAGTTTATTCAAGTGAGTTTTATTTTTAATCAGCAACAGAAAATAGATATTAAAATGAATTAAACATATCAACAAAAATTACAGAATCTTGACTATATAAATGTTTTAAAATACAACAAACCAATAAAAAAGAGTGAATGAAAAGATTGTTAAATAAAAAAAAATATCTAATATAGTGAACATAAATATTAACATTGAACTTGTAGCAATACAAATAAAAAGAGCAAAATTAGGAAATTACCGAGAAGAAACTAAAACGTTTCATGGCTTTCACAGTAGTTCAGTTATTTTTAGTCAAATATTTAATACTGTTAGCAAATGTATGCAGATGATGCAAGTTTTCTATTTGGCCAAATTACGCTGGTTAGTTTTTAAGCCACAATTATAAGTTTAAATGTTTTCCCTTATAATAACAAACGGAATTTTATGTTAGGTTATTAAATAAAATCCATTATAAATTTTTTTAACTGCTCAAATAAAATTAATTCAAGCTAAAAGTTTTTGCAAACTGTGTATGTAGGTCAGAATTAGTTTTAATCTAAATTACTGTGGTTGGTCCATAATTAGGAGTTTAAATTATGGAAAAAAAAAAGTTTTGTCTAAAAATAAAAACAGAACTTTGTGCCAGGTTATGAAATAAAGAAATAAATTAATATTTCAGCTGGAGCCGCTCACATCAGAACCTGAGTTTAGGTTCTGCAGCAGAGTTCGGTCCAGATTGTGGATCCATGTTGTTCCTTTGGCTCCATTTCTGCTCTGGAGTCGAGAACAAACCGACGTTTTGAGATGAAAGTGGTTCTGATACGGCTTCCTGTTCGCCCGGCGATGGGCGGGGCAGCAAGGTTTTCCCCGCTGATAGGAGCAACAACGTCTGCCAAGAACGCAGCAAAAGTCTCACAGCTGCAGCAAACGTCTTCCTCAGATGATCAGCCAATCAGAATCAAGATGGAAACATGATCAGCCAATCAGGCTGATCATGGCGACTTTTAAATCTCCTAGGGAAAACTTTTTAATCTTCTTAAACTGGAAACTGTTTTTGTTGAACTTTAATGGAAAGTGGGACTGCAAACGTCCACCGACGTTTACTAAAATCTATTCATCAAAGTTCTGACTTTGTATTTTAGCACCTTGAAATTGGACCTCTGTCTCTTTAAGAAGCTTCTGCTCTTTCTGAAGCTCCTCCATCAGGAAGTCATCCCAACATGGCTCCTCTATTAACCCTTTGATGTTTTTACCAGAGTTGCTCTAAGAAGTAGTTTGCATAATGAGATCAGCAGCTGTTTGCTAATTGCTGCTGGCTAGTCTGAAGGAGCTCAGTGGGGGAGGAGCTGAGTCCAGAAGGCAGGGCTACGTCCAACCAGGCGTTTTGAGCAGCTGAATGGTTGCCATGGAGATTAAAGGTTAGGTAAGCTTCAGCTAGAACATGATGGAAAACGTGATACTGCCCCTTTAAATTTGAAAAGCATTGATGAATAAAATGTGCTGACCTGCAGAACCCTGAAGGCGCAGGCCCGGTTCTGGTAGAACCCCTGCAGAGTGAGGGAGCTCCACAGCTTCACCAAACCCCTGAAACAGAACCCAGAAGAGGGAAATAAAACCCAACCGGCTCCAGGTTCTGCGGGCGGAGCTGGCTTCGGACCGGTACCTGCTGGGAACGCGCAGCAGAGCGGTCAGCGTCTCCTCATCGTACTTCAGCACATCCACACTCAGCGCCGCTCCGACCTGAAGAACACCAGCACCAGTTATCAGAGGAAAGGTCCGGACCCGAGCGGCCGGGCAGAACCGTGAGGACCCCACCTCTCCGAACAAACTCCTCAGGCAGGAAGTGATGAAGGTCTTCAGGTCGACAGCGCTCACTCTGGCCGACTCATCCTCCAGCACCCTGCGGAGAGGAGAGAGACTGGACTTACCGCGAGTAAACAGAACAACGCACAGGGTTCTCATACGTTCCAAAAAACATTGACCTCTGACCTCCTTAGCAAACCCACAGACAAGATACATAAACAAACATAAACTTTTATATTAACTTTGTAATAATTATTACATGAACTTAGTGTAAATGGTAACATCTGATCTTAGATGACCACCAAGTTCTGCAGCACACAAATTCTTATTATCAGATCACATACATTCACCATTTTTCCTCTTTTGGTAAGAAAATATGTGATATTTAATATTAATCACATGAAATGCTATTTTATTCCTATAATTCTCATAGGTTTTGTCTTGACAGAAACTTTTTCACTTCTTGCTGCTATTTTAACTTAAAAACAAAGTAGTTTGATTAATTATTTTAAGAAAAAAATATTTACAAAAAAACAAACATGATGAACTCTCATCTTGGATTATGTGTTTTTTATATATATATTTTTGAATTATTATTTTTATCTTCCTTTCAACTTTCTTGAGCCCCCTCGGTGCCCTCCAGTGGCCCCCAGGTGGCCCGCGGTCCCCACTTTGGCAAACACAGGTCTAAGTAGTTGAAACTTACAGGCGGACTTTGAGGTAGTGATGCGGCGAAGCGTTCTTCAGTACGACCCGTTGGTACCCAGAAGATTCTGCCTCCTCAGCGCCTGCTCTCATTTTCCGCAGACTGGAAACTCTGAAGAGGAAAAGGTCAGAGGACGTGACCTTGAGGTCACACGACAGAAAATATCAGTCCAATTCTTTCACTTCTCACAGCCGATCCAGAAATCTGTTGATCTCTTCAAACGAATAAATCAGAAACCTGAAGGATGAAATCCTTTACATTTGTTTCTACAGTCAGTGAACGCACCACAGCTCAAAGCTTTTGGTTTTGATGGTCAGGAGGTTTTTATTTACAGAAATATATTCGACGTTTTTAAGCGTCTTGATCATTAACTGGACTCAACAGAACCAGAACAGTGTTAGCATTCAAGCTAATAGAAGCTAATTTTTAAACAACTATATTCCTAAAAATCTTTTGGACAAATCGCTGGACATAATAAAAACAAACGAGGATCCGGAAAATAAAGTTCAGAAATCAAAAAGGCTCATATCTACAAAAAGAAAATTATAAAATTTACAAGAAATCAAGACTGAAATTTTATTCTTACTAATTTATACCTTTATTCCAAATAAAACGTAGGACATGTCGTTTGAAAAAAAAAAAACTATGCGTGATGAATCTTTATTACCGGTTTCCACAATGCGGGACAGAAAATGCTAAACTGTATATGACTTTTAGCTGTAAGATTAACGGACCACCGACAGATCTGAAACATCGACAGGCTGGGGTCACCGTTTCCAGCCCCAGGAGAGGTCAGGGCGGAGCAGCACGGAGCTCCAGGCCGCTACGACATCTCTGGATCGGATCAGAATCTCCAGAACTCTGACGGAACACCTAAAATGTTTTTACTCACCGTCTACATGTCCATGGAAAGAGAACTGCAACGTGTTTACCCTGCCGCCATCAAAATCATCAACGCATGCGCACTTACCTCATAACGCTCTGATCAGGAGGTCTCACTCTGTCACAGGAACCGATCTTGTTCATTTTAATGGCGAGTTTTTCTTCAAACGGCAAACTTAACTTGGGTATTCTTGGAGTATTTTGAATGCAACATGAACTGCTTTTTATTGACCAGAGCTAAAATTAAGATTTGCGACATTTCTATAAAAATACAATACATTCTTGCTCAAATACGTTTTCCATGTTCTTCTGTGGCTTGTTTTAATCTATTTAAAACAATCTATTTTCATGATCGGTATTTTACAAAATACTTACATTCATATTTTAATCAGAATATTTCTTATCTGTAGTCCTTAGCTCGGCTACGCCTTTTTCAGACTACTATCGAACAGTCTGAAAAAAATGTATGGACTGAAACATCTTGCATAGTTTGTTTACTCTTTGACAGCGATGTTAAAGCAGTGTAGGGTGCTGCCCTCAAGTGGCCAAATCATGTTACCGCAAGCATAGATAAAAAGAATCAAACCCAACTTCTTCTTTTTAAAATTTAATTTTTCAACCCTTGAGAAATATTTGTGCAAAATCATTCTGTTAATTCATTTAACTTATTTTTATTCTAGTTTACAAACAGAATGAAAATTAAGCAGGAATCACAATTAACCCTACGTTTGGGTTTTTAGTCTCATTTCTTGTGAATATCATAATTTCTTCCCTACAAAAAAAAGGAAAAAAATAGTCAAACTCCTCCCATGGTATAATTTTTGCTAACAAGAGGAGACTCATCTCAGTCAGTTAAAATCAGAACTCCAAGTTCTGGTTTTTTGCTCCTCTATCGCTCAGACTTGTTTCTTTGCTTTATTGTGAAAGTCCAGCACAAGGTTAGCAAATTTCCTTGGCCTCTCCAAGGCAACGGCGTGACCACAGTTGTCCAGCAAATCCACCTGGCAGTGAGGCAGCGCCTTCTGGATCACTGCGGCTCCAGAAACATCCAGGATCTGAGAAAGTGGAGGTTGAGATTTACTTACATTCAAAGTCCAACTGGGTTCAGAATCAAATGTTTCTGGTGTTCTGATTTCTAAAAATCTGTTTTAATGTGTTGGGAAGTGAATGTTGCAGCATTGCTGTGTTTACCTGGTCGTTCTTCCCCCAGATGACCTGCAGGGCTGTGATCAGATTCAGGTGTTCCTGCAGCGAGTGTCGAGACTTCTCCCCAGCGATCGCCTCGAACACTAAACATAAACAGTATTTGCACAGATTAAACCAACAGAGGAAACAGAAACAAAATAAAATCAGATGAAATAGCGCCAGAATTATTTTACAACTTATAATTATTTGTTGCGCAGATTATGAAACAAATAGTCATTTGTCTCATAATTTGAAATATTTTGCAAATTGTTCCCAGTAATGCATAACTGTGAGTTTACTGCAAATTTTTCCTAAAAATAGTTAAAAATATTGAGTTTGTAATGTAAACTCCCACCTGCAGGAGGCAGTGTTTCTTCTATTACACTGCTGCCTCAGGCTCATTTCAGATTTGGAAGTTTTTTAAAGAATAAAGATGCTTGTGCCTCATCTGTCTGCTTCTTGTTTTTTCCATATGCAGATTTTGCAAATATTTCCAAAGTAGCATCACTAAATCAGAAATTTTGAATGTAAAAAAAAAAAAAAATCCCAAACTTTACTTTATATTTTGGACTGTTTGACAATGTAATTTTAAAATATCAAATAATTGATCATCTATCTGTTAGTGCTTTTAGCCAAATAATTTTTTTACTCTTGAATAATTTGATGGCTACTTTTTACTTTTACTTGAGTAAAATATTTATGAACTCCGCCCACATCTGCTAAAAGGTCAGCCTCATTTTTCACATTTCTGCCAGCACATCTCACATTTTAATGAACAGCTTTGGTCTTGAAATGAAAAATAAAGCAACTTGTGTCTTTATTTTATTTCAATCTGAGGAACGATGGAGAGTGAAAACTGACCTTCTCTGTAGAAGTCGTTGTTTGGGATCCTGTTGGCCAGGAGGCCCCGGAGGAACTGCAGGAGCAATCAGAGCAACATGTCTGTTAGCGCCGCGCTGCGCCGCGGACGGAAGCCCGTAGGGCTCTGTCCGTACCTGCCGGGGGATTGTGGGCGGTTTGTAGCAGCACAGCTTCAGCATGGCCTCCAGCTCCTGCATAGAGGTGGGGATGAGCGGGATGGGTTTACTGGGCACGATGGACTTATCCAGGTCATTCTCCTTCAGAAGGGCGATGAAGCTGGACTCTGTGGGGTAAATCAGACCTGCAGGGAGGCAACGAGGGGCAGAAAGCACCAGCAGCGACACAAAATTAAAATATGCAAATTTCTGAAGCCAGAAAAATATCAAATCTATGAAAAAGCAGAGAAAGTCCCTGGAGCAGGACAGTCCAAACTTTTATTATTGACTTGCAGTTGGGGGCCACACAGAATCACTCCAAGGGCCACAAATGGCCCTGGCGCCACACTTTGGACACCCCTGCTTTAGAAGTTCACAGGGAAGTGAAACCTGAAGAAAGCTGCAGATTTACCTGCTGGACACACCAAGGTGAGGCTGCAGACGTCAGCCGGGTAGAGACCGGCGTAGACGCCCGCCACGTTCCCCCCCATGGAGGCGCCGACCAGGTGGAACGGCGATTTATCCAGACCGACGCTGCGGACGAACTGAGCAGACACAAAACAGACGGGCGGCCATTTTCAACATGCTGATGTCGTTCATGATGTAGAAACCAGATTTATACTTTTTCATTATTGTTTAGTTTTATTGTGACAGTTTTATTCAGTTAATCGTGTTTAGAGTGTGTTAACTAGTTTCTGTTGGTTATTTGAGTTAAATCTTGTTCCGTTTGCGCCGACCTGATGGACTCGCCTGGCCTGACCCTGGATGCTGTAATCTTCTGCTGCAGCTCGACACGTCCCTTCATGTCCAGGCATGTCCAAACAAACCACATGCAGGTTTCTGGGGAAGTACTGGGAGCAGAAAGCAAACACATAATAATAAGTATTAGAATGTTCTGATGCTTCTATTGTCCGAATTGAAGCAAATAAATCAGAATTCATGTTGCAACCAGTTTATTGAGCAACAACTGACAGAGAACGTAGAAACTGTGGGTTGAAATTAAAACATGCCAGGGAGTGAAAATAGTTTCAAAGTATTTGTGTGTGTAATACTGATTTGTAAACCTTAAATATAACATAAACCTTCTTCTACGCCTACAAATACTGAAAACTGACACACAGGTCACCTGGTTGCACATAAAACTGCATTTACTAACAAAGACTTTTCAGACTCATTTCAGCTTCAGGAGCTCCCAGATGGTGCGTTTACATGCCAGTCAAAAGCTGGGGCATTTGAGTCTAGTGTTTTTACCCTCTAAATGTTTCTTGTGCCAAATACGTTAGTTGAGAGGAAAACGGTATATCTCAGCACTTCCTTATGTAATTATTTACAGACATATTGTGCATTTTAGAGCGCTACAGGAGACTCTGGTCTGAAAAACGAGCACTGGGTCGCAGCATTGTGCTCTGATCTCTGACGTACGTCGGAGTTAATCCTGCAGGCTTTGCTCTAAAGAGAGGAATTCTAAATAATTTCAGATTAAGCATCCCTGAAACCGTATTTTGTTGCTTCAGCAGGAATGAAGGTCGATCTGGACCAGCAGGACTTTATTCACCAGAACAAACTGAAAGACTTCATGCATGTTGACTTCTTGACATATTTAAGGATTTACACATACGCCTGTTACAATAATCAATATACTTTTACACACGGACAGAGACTTTGAGACTGTTTTTACTGCATAGTTCTGCAGGAACAGAACCTACAGAACCTGGAGAACCAGGTTGGGAGCACGACAAGAACCCAAAGGTCAAAGGTCAGACCTCAGCCTGACTACGTGCGTGTTACCATGACGACAGGCAGCCACATGTCCTTGGAGGCGGCGAACCCGTGCAGCAGCAGCAGCGACGGCGTGGCGCCCCCTGGGGTCCCGCGGGTGGAATAACAGAAGCGGTAACTTCCACAGTGGGAGTAGCGGACCGCCACGCCCTGCGAGCGCCGATTGTACCTGACAGGACAAAGGAGGCGGTTGACCTTTGATGACCTCTAGAAACATTTCTTTATATCTTTAAAGTGATAGCAGCACAAAACATTTTTGCTGCACAAACGCAGCACCAAGCGGCTTGGACCGGCCCTGATCTGGACGTCGGTGAGGATCCCTGCAGCCACGGAGACGAGCGGTTCATCAATAAACAGTCTGCTTTCATAACTCAGTGCAGAAAACCAATAAAGCCGCTGAATATTTCTGGATCAAAACCGTCTTTGTAGTCGGAGGAATGACGCAGACAGACTAAAAGCCAGCAGGAAGTTTATGACACTCATCGTTTCATGGCAGCAAACGGTTTATATTTCCATCAACAGTTTCCATCGCAGCTCATCCTGTGGCCCTCGACTCTAAAGAGCCACATGAACAGAACTTCATATCTTACAAACCATTTCAATCAAATCAATGCAGATTTTTTTGCAGAGAGTAGATTATATCAATGTAAAAAGATGTTTGATGCCATTTAACTTTTATAAGTAGAACGCAGAGACAGGAATTTATTTTTATGTTGTAATTTGTTAACGGCCCTTTGAGGACATTCACAATCTTGATGAGGCACAAAATGAAAATGTACGTATGGAGAAGTGCTGACTTTACAGGATCTGTTGAGGTCAAAGGTGATTCAGTGACTCATCTTAATGGAGGCAGCGCATTCTGTGTGCGTTTACCAGTTGTAGGCCTTCAGCAGCACACCGGGCCAGAACACGACGGACGTGATGAAGGCGCAAACAGGAACAAGCAGAACTCCTCCTGTTAGCAATGAGGCTTTAGCCCAGGTTAGCTCCATCGCTGCTGCAGACGCCTGGAAAAGCAAACGAACATCCGATCAGATCGTTTTTTCCTCCCGGATCTTTATCAATACAAACTGAACTTTAAGCTGCAATTCAGTCCGTCACAGGAACAAACGCCGCTGGACATAATAAATTTGTGATGAGAGATGATAACGTCCTTAAAACAACCAAAACATTTTACTGATCATCCAGGTTATGGTGGAAAGAAAAAAACAATAAATCATGCAAATTAAGGCTACTGAGCTGGTTGTAATCTATCACGCTGATTAATTGATTATTGATTATTGCCACAGGCCTTGCTGCAGTTCAAACAGAACAGATCCAGTTTACTGACAGGTTTCTCTATAAACTGAACCAAAAACAGAGGAAATGTTGGAGTACTTTTCTTTGAATACTTTTCATGAGGTTACAAATATTTCAGAACATGTTTTGCTCATATTTTGTATTATTTTAGTGCTGATATTGTTTCATAAACTGTTTTCCTTTTTCAGTGGTTTTTACTTCCATCATCTTGTGAAGCATTCTGAAACTTTTCTACTTAAATCAATGAATATAATCATAATAAATGCTGAAAGCAGCCGACCGAGGCTGAAATAACAAACTTTCCTGGCCTGAATGAACGTACTGCCACATGCAGAGAGGGTCAGCAAGGTCACCATTCCTCCCCTGAAGCACGGAGGTGGAGCGATGATGGTGTGGGATCAGAACATGGGATGAAATTCAATGATCCAGAACCCAAGATGGACTCAACAGGAACCAGTGGAGGTTCTGGTCCGACAATCAGAAACCAGGTTCTGATCAGATATCTAACAAATATCGATTTGTTAGAAAATCGATATTATCAGCAACTAAAAAGCACCAATGGAAAAACAGAACCAGGGAGAAAGAAATGCATGTGAATTTATGAGCAGCTTACCTCGACGAGGAGATCAAAGTGGGCGGGAATAAAAGTTCAAAAATCCGGCTGTGAAAGTTTGCAGTGAAGCTGGAGGATAATCTGGATTATCAGCAGCGCGGGAGGAAACTTCCCTCTGATTTTAATAACATCGAGTTATTATTCATTTTCTCCCGAAGAGGAAAACCGTCCAAAACCGAACAACGTCGGTTACATCAAAGCAGAACCGGCAGGAAAACCGGAAAACCTGCGAACCGTGAATCCGAACCGAATATCACCGGAACAGAAGCACCTTCCGAACCGGAGAGACAGAACCGAACCTGCTCGGCTCCTCCAGGCTCCTCTCTTCTCTTTCACCCAAATTACACAATCGGTGTTCAGCCTTTCATCCGCTCTTAAAGAGAAACGACCGTGCTGCGTTCACGGACCGTGGGAAATGCGGCAGGACTCCGTTTGAGATAAAAACATAGGAAGAGATTTTACTTCCGCCTGCTGGCCAGGTTGCATCTCCAGAGGATCTTAGAGACCCAGAGAACATTTCCCAGACAACCCACTAGAGATCAGTGATTTTTCCCTAAAGAAAAATGACCTCATCATGTGAGGTCATTTATGACCTCATCATTGATGACCTCATCATGAGTCTCACAGGACAGAGACAGATGATGAAACTACCACAGCTCACCGTGGAAATACCTACTGGTGGGTATGGGAGGCCTGGGGGGCAAGATCCACAAAGGTGGAAGGAGAACCCAACCTATGAGATGATCCACAGAAACCAAGAGACCTGAAGGTTCTGAAGGTTCTGAAGGTTCTGAAGGTTCTGGTTGTCACTGGGATCAGAGAAGAGAAGGAAACGTTTCGTACGGAAAGAGCAGAGAAAAATAAAACATGTTGATTAGTGAGTTTTATAGCAGTTCAAAGATTGAATCCTGGACTTTGGAACGAAACAGTTTGTGATCATTTCAGAGAGACGATCAGATCAGATATTTGAACATTTAAACGTGAAAAACCATTTTATTTTTGCATTGACACAATTCACATCCTGATGGAATTTCATTTCTTCCCAACGACACAAAGCGAAGCTGCAACTGCGTTTTTATGGATGACAGTGGAGAGAACAGCTGGAGCTGCAGGTCAGAGGTCACAAAGGTCACAGAGGTCACAGAGGTAATGTTCACACGGGTTTAACCCATTTAATTAATTGGTGCAGGGTTAACCTATTTCTGGAAATTTTTCATAAAACAAATAGTCAAACTCCTCCCATGGAATAATTTTTGCTAACAAGAGGAGACTCATCTCAGTCAGTTAAAATCAAAACTTCAAGTTCTGGTTTTTTGCTCCTCTATCGCTCAGACTTGTTTCTTTGCTTTATTGTGAAAGTCCAGCAAAAGTTTAGCAAATTTCCTTGGCCTCTCCCAGGCAACGGCGTGACCACAGTTGTCCAGCAAATCCACCTGGCAGTGAGGCAGCGCCTTCTGGATCACTGCGGCTCCAGAAACATCCAGGATCTGAGAAAGTGGAGGTTGAGATTTACTTACATTCAAAGTCCAACTGGGTTCAGAATCAAATGTTTCTGGTGTTCTGATTTCTAAAAATCTGTTTTAATGTGTTGGGAAGTGAATGTTGCAGCATTGCTGTGTTTACCTGGTCGTTCTTCCCCCAGATGACCTGCAGGGGCGCTGTGATCAGATTCAGGTGTTCCTGCAGCGAGTGTCGAGACTTCTCCCCAGCGATCGCCTCAAACACTAAACATTCATCATTTATTACTCATCATAAGAAGTTTTAAAAAAGTAACAGATTATGAGACAAACAGCCAAACTGGTGAACCTTCCCTGACCTCCACCTTTAATCTGTCGCTAATTCTTTCCTCACTGTGATGCTAACTTAGTTATACTCAAATAAATTTACTTGAGTAACTTTTCAAAAAAAATATAAATAAACTTTTAGGAGTATTTTTACTACACTACTCTTTTTGCTTTCATGTGAATCATTTTATTATGAAGTATTTCACTCTTACTTGAGTAAAATTTCTGAACAGCTTTGGTCTTGAAATGAAAAATAAAGCAACTTGTGTCTTTATTTTATTTCAATCTGAGGAACGATGGAGAGTGAAAACTGACCTTCTCTGTAGAAGTCGTTGTTTGGGATCCTGTTGGCCAGGAGGCCCCGGAAAAACTGCAGGAGCAATCAGAGCAACATGTCTGTTAGCGCCGCGCTGCGCCGCGGACGGAAGCCCGGAGGGTTCGTCACCGTACCTGCCGGGGCATTGTGGGCAGTTTGTAGCAGCACAGCTTCAGCATGGCCTCCAGCTCCTGCATAGAGGTGGGGATGAGCGGGTTGGATTTACTGGACTTATCCAGGTCATTCTCCTTCAGAAGGGCGATGAAGCTGGACTCTGTGGGGTAAATCAGACCTGCAGGGAGGCAACGAGGGGCAGAAAGCACCAGCAGCAACACAAAATTAAAATATGCAAATTTCTGAAGCCAGAAAAATATCAAATCTATGAAAAAGCAGAGAAAGTCCCTGAGCAGGACAGTCCAAACTTTTATTATTGACTTGCAGTTGGGGGCCACACAGAATCACTCCAAGGGCCACAAATGGCCCTGGCGCCACACTTTGGACACCCCTGCTTTAGAAGTTCACAGGGAAGTGAAACCTGAAGAAAGCTGCAGATTTACCTGCTGGACACACCAAGGTGAGGCTGCAGACGTCAGCCGGGTAGAGACCGGCGTAGACGCCCGCCACGTTCCCCCCCATGGAGGCGCCGACCAGGTGGAACGGCGATTTATCCAGACCGACGCTGCGGACGAACTGAGCAGACACAAAACAGACGGGCGGCCATTTTCAACATGCTGATGTCGTTCATGATGTAGAAACCAGATTTATACTTTTTCATTATTGTTTAGTTTTATTGTGACAGTTTTATTCAGTTAATCGGTGTTTAGAGTGTGTTAACTAGTTTCTGTTGGTTATTTGAGTTAAAGCTTGTTCCGTTTGCGCCGACCTGATGGACTCGCCTGGCCTGACCCTGGATGCTGTAATCTTCTGCTGCAGCTCGACACGTCCCTTCATGTCCAGGCATGTCCAAACAAACCACATGCAGGTTTCTGGGGAAGTACTGGGAGCAGAAAGCAAACACATAATAATAAGTATTAGAATGTTCTGATGCTTCTATTGTCCGAAATTGAAGCAAAAATGCAGCAAATGACATAAAACCGAAAAGTGGCTTAGTTAAAGTTCAGAACTCAACCTGGCTGAAATTCTGAGTTGGGACCTCAATGATCTGAAGTTGTGTGTGTGTGTGTGTGTGTGTGTGTCACCTTGGTGACAGACAGAAACATCTCTTTGGAGGAGGAGAACCCGTGTAGCAGCAGCAGCGACGGCGTGTCGCCCCCTGGTGTACCGTGGGTGGAATAACAGAAGCGGTAACTTCCACAGTGGGAGTAGCGGACCGACACGCCCTGCGACAGGCACATGTACCTGAGGAGGAGAGCAGCGGGTTAGACCCGACAACCCGGAACCGACCTCTGACCTCTGGTTCTACAGCATCCTTCTAAACAGACAGGCTTTCCACCAATGACTCAAATGAAAATCTGCTCTGGGCCCCAAAGCGTCTTGGACCGGCCCTGATCTGGACGTCGGTGAGGATCCCTGCAGCCACCGAGACGAGCGGTTCATCAATAAATTACTCATTGCAAAAAAAACAATAAAGCAGATGAATATTTCTGGATCTGAAAGTGTCTTTGTAAAAAGAGAAATTACATAAACTGGAGAAGAATAGAAACTAAAACCCAACAGGAAGTTTATGACAGGAAGTTTATGACTGTGTGCGTTTACCATTTGTAGGCCTTCAGCAGCACACCGGGCCAGAACACGACGGACGTGATGAAGGCGAAAACAGGAACAAGCAGAACTCCTCCTGTTAGCAATAAGGCTTTAGCCCAGGTTAGCTCCATCGCTGCTGCAGACGCCTGGAAAAGCAAACAGACATCCGATCAGATCGTTTTTTCCTCCCGGATCTTTATCAATACAAACTGAACTTTAAGCTGCAATTCAGTCCGTCACAGGAACAAACGCCGCTGGACAGTAAACTGTCCCAGAAATGATCACGAGAAACGATAATGTTGTTGATTTGACACCATATAATTGTCATGGTATAGTGGTGGAAGAACACGTTTAGGGATCAATAAACATTTATTATCGGAACTGGAAAACATTTTAGATATCCAAAATAAATAAACAAAACAACAGAAGCAACAAAAAAATGAATTCTGAAATCTCAATAAACAAAACTGTCCTTCAAAAAAATGGCTATTTGAGACCAAAACAGCAAACTGAACATTTTTCATCCAGTTTTTGGTAGAAAGACAAAATGTTTTAAATTATGATGTGATTAATTTTTTATTGACAGAAATGTTTAACTATTATCTAATAGAACATGTTTTATTCATATATTTTGTGCTATTTTACTCATTTCTATTTCTAAACTGTTTTTCATATTCAGTGGTTTTTACTTTTAAGTATCTTGTGAAGCAAACTGAAACTTTGCTCCTTTAAATCAAATTTATTACTAGTGCAATCATAATACAAGTTAAAAGCAGTCAACAGGGTGTGAATTAATGCATAACCCTTTTAAAAATCTCTGCATATGGTAAAACTATAATTATAATTCTGGGTGAAGGTGAAGCCATTTATCATCAAACTGTATTTTCTCTTTAAATCATGACAGAAACAACCCAAATTAATGCAACCAGAAGCTTCCAGAGTTTTCATCTTTTAGCACACGAGGCTGTAAACGTCTGACCTGGAATCTGTTTGAATTAAATCAATGCTGGTGGAGAAAAACATGAAAAACTCACCCAACTTTCTGAAATTAAGAGGTGAAATTGTTACAAGACGCAGAGACCTGGAGGAACTTTAAAGTGAAAAACATGGGCCGAACCAAACAGCCTCAAAGAATATCAGAATAAAAGTTTCCTGGCCTACATTAACCAACCGTAGGGGTCACTAAGGTCACCATTTCTCCCCTGAAACATGGAAGTGGATAAAGTGGTGGGATGAAAATTCAATGTTCAAAAATGATGATGCAGAACCCAAGATGGACTCAACAGGAATCAGTGGAGGTTCTGGACCGACAATCAGAACCAGGTTCTGATCAGGGTCGGTTGGGTTCCGATCGGCGGTTTGCAGGGAAACTGGAGAATATTCTGGATTATTACAGCGGACAGATTATCAGCAGCTCATGAGGAAACTTCTCTCTGATTTTAATAACTCCAGCCTCGTTACGATCTTTTGTGAAAACCGTCGGTTACATAAAACCAGAAAAAAACGGAAAACCTGCGAACCGTGAATCCGGACCGAGTATCACCGAACAGAACCGAACCTGCACAGCTCCCCCTGCCTCGCTCCTCCAGCCTCCTCTTCTCTCCTCCTTCATCCACACACACAATCGGAACCACAGTGCTGCGTTCACGGACCGTCAGAAACACGGCAGGACTCCGGTGAGATAAAACACGGGCTGAGGTTTTCTCGGGAAGTTAATTCCACCTGCTGACATCAGATGTGTGGAATCTCTTAAGAGTCAACTTCTCTAAAATGTTTCTCCCTGAATTAATTGATCATAAGAGAGATTCTAGATCTGCAGGAAATGATACAAAATCTGGAAAATTCAGGCATCAAAACTGAGACGTTAAGCTTAAACAGTCCGAAAGAGATTCTGTGATGTTTTTAAATTTCTGTAACTTCTGCATCTTTCTCTCTTCTACCAGATTCAAAAAGCAACAGTTTATTTTCAACTATTTAAACTAGAACTAACCTCCAAATCAGCTGAAAACTGCTTAAATTGGTTCTGTCTTATATATATATATATATATATATATATATATATATATATATATATATATATATATATATATATATATATATATATATATATGCGCATTATTTTGCCTCAACACGTCTCAGTGCTTTCTTTCCCTTTGGTCAAAAGATTTAACTCTAGTTGTTTCGGCTGTTTTTCCTCAACACAGATGCAAGTTAATGAATGAAATCATACGAAGCTGCTGATGCCAGGCAAAACATTTTTTAAAAAAGCCACACTGCACTGCAGTTTTCTACCATTTGTCACAGTTTCAGTTGTGGGTGGTACTTGTATGCCCGCACAGCAGGGGGCGCTGTCAAACTCAGTGTCACAAATCAGAAATACTCCCAAGGGACCCACAAGACTTCTGGCTGCACTTTGGACATGCAGCACATTAAAGCCACCGGCTACTAGAGATGATGGATGTTTGAGGAGAGCAAATATGATCAAGTTCTGTAGTCAGAAACCCAAATGTGTCAAAGGTTAAAAACATAAATGAATCAGTCTGCTGGGTGGGCTGGTGACCTGTCCAGGTAACCCGCAGCTCCAGGCCCACAGAAGAAAAAAGGGTTTCTTGCCTAAAGAAGAATACGCCTTTTGCTGTTTGTCAAAAGTTGACCAAAGGCAACTTTTTGCTTGATCTTTTGACCTTTGAACTGTTGTAAGGACAGAATAGAAATCTAGTCTGTTTGGCAAGAAACACGATGGCGCAAACAGTGTTTGAGGTTGAAGGAATTCCCCATCATCTTACCACTGAACTCTGTCTTTTGCCACATTGGATTTGACAACCTTAGATGCATCCATGCCACAACCACCTGCAGCACTGCAGAAGCTCAGTCTCTGTGGCGCAATCGGTTAGCGCATTCAGCTGTTAACTGAAAGGTTGGTGGTAGAAAGAGGAATATGCCTAAAGAAGAATAAGCTTAAAGAAGAAGACCATCCAAGTGTTTCACAGGACTGAGAGAGGAGCTCATGTCAGATAATGACTAAACTACTCAGGAGGCATTTAGGTAGAAAATCCCTCCTGAGAGAAGGACAACAGATACACAAAAGAAGAATCCTACCAGAGGGGTGGAAACGGAGGAGTTGACCTGCTGACCTAGAGACACTTGACACATGAAGTCTCAGGTTGTCATGGGATGATAAGAAATGTCATTTTGGGACATGGAAAAGTTTATGGATAAAATGCTTGTACAACACAAGATTTTAACAAACTAAACAAGAAAAAGAAGAATTAACGCTCGCTAAGGCAAAGGTTAAACCAGCTGGACTGCAGATTGGTGAAAGTTGAGTAAAGACCAACCAGACAAACACAGGGAGCAGGCAGACCAGGGTTCGGTCCAGTACAAATGTTTATTCTGATACAAAGAGCGTGACTGTGACGGCAGAACCAGCGGAGCCTGTTGGTCCAAATCTACAAAAATAAAATGATTTCAGTAGAAAACACCAGACAGCTGTTTGGCCTTTACATCCTCTCTGCAGGAATCACAGAGCTGATGACCTATGACCCTCAGTGAATGGAGGCGCTCAGGCAGCCGGCCAATCAGGTTCCAGCTCAGATTTTTAACAATTTCAAACTGAAGTTAAATGTAACTAAATATCCTCTGATTTCACATTTTTATCCCCTTTTCTGCACATTTAAAATATTTTTTAATTTCTTAACATAAAAATCTCACTAAAACTGTTCATATGTCATTTACTTTGAACATTTATTTTTTCTTTTAGTATTAAACAACCTGAATGTTCCCCTCTGCTGTCATCGTTTGTTAGTTTTCAGAGGTTGTAAAGTTTTCACACCCCTGCTAAAGTCACTTTCTGTGGCGGTGAAACTTCTGGAAGCATTAAATGTGACATTTATCCTGGAAAAACAAGAAGCTGCGTCAGGGAGTCATTCTGCCTGCTTTATAAAAGTTCTCCAGTCTATTCTCCACTTGCCTCTTCAGCTAATTGGTTTTCAATCTGGGTTTTAACTAGGCCGTTCTAAAACTATGTAGTTTTCCTCCCATGAAATCATTGATTAAATGTTCTGACTGGATGTTTGGTCTCTCGGAGATGATGGACAAAAAAATGCTTCAGCTTTCTAGCAGATTAGTGTTTTGTGCCCTTCTCCTGACTGATACCTTTAAACCATCTGACCCTGTGGAACATGAACAGATGTGAGGAAGATTACAGCTGAAGTTTACTTCAGGTTCCTCAGAATGCTAGAACTGGACCAGAACCTGTGCGTAAACTTGGCCGGGTCATTACAGATTTAACTGGTTCTGTTTTCCCCACTAACAGGATAGTTTGTGTTCCAGGTGAATAAAGTCGGCTTCTGCCCCACAGGAAGTGGATACGTTCACAGGAGTGTGTAAACCTTTGGAGCGTCTCATCAAATCGACTTTATCAACATTTTACAGATTAAGAGCCGTAACCTGAAAATCCTCCCAGTTGAACTGGAACGTTTCCAGTCTGCGGTGCCGTTCAGTGAGCTCACACTGTTACTAATTGGCCAAAGGAGAGCGCCTTCAACAGGAACCAAGGGCAAAGGTCAGCGGTTTCTCTGAAGCCGCTGCTGGCCGGTCCAGCAGAATCGGTCCTGACCTGCTGAATGGGCCGGGCTGCAGGGGAACGCAGCCTGTAACAGAGTTCGCTTCCTCAACAAACGCACCATCATCGTCTTCCAGAACCAGCACCAGCCATGTTTGGCACAAAAAAAAAGCAGGTCAGAGGTCAGATTGGACCTTCACCGCAGAGTCCAGGTCGATGAAACGCTCTGAGTTCTAGAAAGATTCTGAAGGGGTCTGGATGGACTCTGGAGCAGCTTTCAGTCCAGAAGTTGGACTCCAGAACCTCCTGATATCCAACCAGTCCTCAATTCCTCACTACTTCTCTGTTTGGATCAGTGGTTCTCCAGAACCTCCATAAGGTTCTATTTCTCTGTTGGACTGAAAAGAACTGAATATCAGCCAAAGTCCAAAAGAACCGTCTGGAAGACCTGCAGGAAGAACTGCAGAACCAGAACACCCAAACAGAGAGGGGAAGGAACCGGATCAGAGGAAAGAACCGGGGCCGGATCAGAACCTCTGAATGCTGCTGTTTGTTTAACATCCAGACAGAAATCTGCTCTGATCCCAATGAGCGGTCTGGTCCGGTCCGGCACAAACAGAACCAAACCCGCTCTGCTCAGACACTGGGAGGTTCTGGCTCAACTGGACCCAGGAAAAGACTGACAGTAAATCACTTCCTGTTATCAGTGGAAACGTCAGAGGTTCTGTCCCAGCTCTGTTGGATCCCACATACAGAGAGGTTCCCAGGAGGTTCTGGTCGGGTTCAACCGACCCTTTAATTTGACCTTTTAAAGCGTTTCAGCAGACGCCTGCTGACAGTGTTTGATGATGATGACCTCAAAGCATCAGAGCCCGTTGCTATGACAACAGCTTCAGGAGAGGTCAGAGTGAAGCTGCGAGTTTGTGGTGAAGTAAAACAGAACTGGCGCCGGGTTCTGATCCGACTGCTCTCTGGGCGGTGACCTCTTGACCTCGGAGCCGGTCCCTTCACACAGCCTGGAAAAGCAACGCTCGCTCCTCCCTCTCCGCCGCCAGGATGCTGGGCAGCGGCGGCAGGGAGCCGTTGGGCAAGGCACCGCCCGTCCTCAGGTAACACGAGACGATCTTCTGGTCCAGACGCAGCTGGCGGGGGACGCTGTCCAGCGGCTTGGGGTCCAGATCCAGGACGGAGACGGAGGAGGAGAAGGCCTGAGGTCTGAAGTCCCTGAGACGCTTCTGGGAGGAGAGTCTGTGGAGGAGGAGGAGGGTTAATGACGATGCTTCAACTTACCAACGCGGAAGAACCGTTCACTATAATTTCATTTAATTACAGCAAGGGAAAAAAGTAAGGCAGAAAAACACTGAAGAACTCAAAACTATTTGCATTTTTCTTTTTTTTCGCTGCCTGAGTCGGCTATGGTACAAAAACACATTGCAGTTTTATGTTTCCAGGGTTGCTGTTTGTTTTGTGATTATTAATAGGAGATTGCTGTGGTGGCCAATATGCTGCAGCAATAGAAACTATCACAGCGGTGGTTGATCATTTAAACACCTGCTCTCCTGGTGATCGCTCTGACTGTGGGGTTTCGTTTAACTCAACTGAAACACGCAGAACTTCTCATGTTAAGGTGTCAGAGTCAAGCTTGCTATTATATAGACCCGGTTCTGCAAAGGCTTTATGTGAAAATAAATATAGATGCGTTTTACTTGGGGTGCAACAATAGCTCTATCTGTTATGAACCGTTCAGTACAATACTCTGGGTTCGATAAGCGCTGAGATGATCGATGGCTCTGGGTTCGACTGCGCCACCAAGGCCGCATTATCGAGCGCAGAGCCACTGAGCATCCAGGCTAGCGAGAGAGGCTAGCGAGAGAAGTTAGCGAGAGAGGCTAGCGAGAGAGAAGCTAGCGAGAGAGGCTAGCGAGAGAAGCTAGCGAGAGAGGCTAGCGAGAGAAGCTAGCGAGAGAGGCTAGCGAGAGAAGCTAGCGAGAGAAGCTAGCGAGAGAGGCTAGCGAGAGAGAAGCTAGCGAGAGAGGCTAGCGAGAGAGGCTAGCGAGAGAAGTTAGCGAGAGAGGCTAGCGAGAGAGAAGCTAGCGAGAGAGGCTAGCGAGAGAGGCTAGCGAGAGAAGCTAGCGAGAGAAGCTAGCGAGAGAGGCTAGCGAGAGAGAAGCTAGCGAGAGAAGCTAGCGAGAGAGGCTAGCGAGAGAAGCTAGCGAGAGAGGCTAGCGAGAGAGAAGCTAGCGAGAGAGGCTAGCGAGAGAGAAGCTAGCGAGAGAAGCTAGCGAGAGAGGCTAGCGAGAGAGAAGCTAGCGAGAGAGGCTAGCGAGAGAGAAGCTAGCGAGAGAGGCTAGCGAGAGAGAAGCTAGCGAGAGAAGCTAGCGAGAGAGGCTAGCGAGAGAGGCTAGCTGGCTGCTACGTGGCTACTGAAGCTCCTCCACCATCATCATTCACATCTGACTTTGGAATAACTTTAGCCTTCATGCCAAGTGGTGGTAAAAAGCTGAACTCCATCGGTAGGAAACATGGACCGGGTCATCGCAACCCGTCCTGTTGATGCAGAACCTGCTGCGAGTTCTGCAGTTTATTCACCGACATATTTTACTGAGACCGCAGTTTCTACCTGTAGCAGGACAAAAGTAGAATTACAGACTTTATCAGTTTTATATGTATCAAAATAATATTGAATGCAAAGCGCTGAACTGAACCGTAAACTGTGTGTGGTGTTGCAATCCTGATCAACTGTCTGCAGACCAGCTGCGGTGGTCATCATCACTCAGATGCATCTTCATCATGAATGAATGAATCAGTGAACATCCAGGCTGCAGACTGAAGGCCTCAGCTCTGATTTAACAGACACACGAAAGTCTTACTCTTCATCATTGTCCTCTTCTTCACTACTGGGAACCAGTGTAACCATAATGGAGCAGTCCTTGGCTGTCATGGCGATCCGGTATTGATGGACCTGCAGAGAAAATAACAGAACTGGATTAAAATTGCCTGAAAAGCAACAGAAAACCTGAGAAAAGCGAACTGTATCCTGAGTGTCTGAGTTTTACTTCAGGATCAGACAGAGTGGAACTGATATACCTCAAGCTACTTTATTAACTCGGTGATAAAACCAATTGATTCATACTAATTATTACAAGACTGAACAGCAGGTTGATGATGTCATCAGTTATTTGTCAGAAACTAAAACCAGCTAAACAGAACCTTAAGCAGAAAAAAACAAAGTTACTGTAGATGTGAACTTTGCTGAGGTCAGCTGATTATTCCTAAATGAGAATCAAGATGATAAAGTTAAATGAGTTTATTCTACTGTCTTTATTACAAGTCTGTTCTGATCAAAGGTTGAATGCTGGACTCTGCAGTGAAGCACGCCTCAAATACAAGGAACACAGCAAGCTCATCAGGTTTAAGCTCCACCACTCGACACACCCGAACCAAAGCAGGAAGCAGTTTGACTTTTGGTTCCTGCTGCTGCTGCTGCTTCCAGCTGCTCACACTGAAGGCGAGTTGGACCAAAAACACTCAGAGTTCAGTGACTGACTGGACCTTCTGTGTTTTCAGCTTCACTCAGAGACAAAATGGCTTCCAGACCAGAGAAGGACCTCTGCTGTCCGGTCTGTCAGGACGGCTTTAAGGATCCGGTTGTTCTGTCATGCAGCCACAGCTTCTGTAAGGAGTGTCTGAAGAACTGGTGGAGACAGAAACCAGCAGGAGAGTGTCCAGTTTGCAAGAGGAAATCTTCAAGAGAGGAACCGACTTTAAATCCGGCTCTGAAGAGACTCTGTGAATCATTCTTAGAGCAGAGAGAGCAAAAAGCTTCAGAGAGTCTCTGCAGTCTGCACTCTGAGAAACTCAAACTCTTCTGTCTGGACCATCAGCAGCCAGTTTGTCTCGTCTGCAGAGATTCAGAAAAACACATCAAGCACAGATTCAGAGCCATCGATGAAGCTGCTCAGGATCACAGAGAGAATCTGAAAACATCTCTGCAGCCTTTAAAGAAGAAACTGGAGCAGAAGAAGGAAGTTAAAGAGGAGTTTGATCAGACAGCAGAACACATGAAGGTCCAGGCCCGACACACAGAGAGGCAGATTGTTGAGCAGTTTAAGAAGCTTCATCAGTTTCTAGCAGAGGAAGAGGAGGCCAGGCTGGCTGCACTGAGGGAGGAAGAGGAGCAGAAGAGAGGGATGATGGAGGAGAAGATGGAGGCTCTGAGCAGAGAGATAGCAGCTCTTTCAGACACAGTCAGAGCCACAGAGGAGGAGCTGAGAGCTGCAGACGTCTCATTCCTGCACAACTACAAGGCTGCAGTGGAAAGAGTCCAGCGCTGCCCCCTGCTGGAGGATCCACAGCTGCCCTCAGGAGCTCTGATAGACCAGGCCAAACATCTGGGCAACCTGGCCTTCAACATCTGGAGCAACATGAAGGACATGGTGACCTACACTCCTCTGGTTCTGGACCCAAACACGGCGAATCCAAAGCTCCTGCTGTCTGAAGATCTGACCACTTTGACATATGGAGAGGAACAGCAGCTTCCTTATAATCCAGAGAGGTTTTATGACTTGTGGCGGTCTGTTCTGAGCTCTGAGGGTTTTAACTCAGGGAACCACAGCTGGGATTTTGAGGTTGGAGACAGTGAATACTGGGAACTTGGTGTGTCAGCAGAGTCTGTCCAGAGGAAGGGAGACAGAGCATCTGGCTGGTTGGGTATCGGCTTATATGAAAGTAAATACTCAGCTTGTTCTCCACCAGCTCCTCTCATTTTCCTTTCTGTCCAGAAAAGACTCCAGAGAATCAGAGTGAATCTGGACTGGGACGGAGGAAAGCTGTCGTTCTCTGATCTGGACACTAACACACTTATACACACCTTCACACACACCTTCACTGAAAACATGTTTCCATTCATCGCCACTGATAATATAGTAAAAATCCTGACAATGAATATCTCAGTGATGAAACAGCAGCTTTGATGTTGTCAGTATGAAGAACGTAAGTTCAAATCAAAGCTGCAAGCAGCCTCATACGGCCCTTGCAGCTCTGCGCCACTCCGGCCTCACGGCAGCCACCACCTATCATAAACGCTCTCCCGCTCCCATCCACTAGGGGGCGCATTTGACAAATCTTCCAAATAGACTCAATGTGAGTCCAGCAGCATGCCTTAAAAGTTTGGTTTCAAGACAGGTCGGGTGTTGAAGGTCGAAGGATTGGCGAGTACTTCCAACTCGCCAATTATGTGTGCTTATTGACAATTAATGAGTACAGTTTCAATCTTAGATCATAAACAGGGTGAAAAAGGATAATTGTCAGTATTTTCTCTCTGTTGGGTGCAAAACATGGCTGCCAGAAACTCTGTACGTCTTGGGAAATCGTAGAAGTGTTGTGATATTCATGCCTCTGCAATAAAGTAAGGTCAATGTGCAGAGTGCTTGAATGTTGCCAGGTGGCGCCGTTGAGCACCACCTGGCAACATTCCTTCATCGCGCTGAGCTTAATAAAACTTTATTGATCTGACCGCAGAAGAAAAGTCAGGATTTCATTCTATCATCTCAGCAGATCTTTAGTTTAATGGAACCATTTAGTTTCTCCTGTGGTTTGGAGAAAGTTTATAGAAAAACCTAGAACATTGACCTGGAGGATAAAACTGTTAGTGTTTGACACTTAAAATCTGTCCAGCATCAACCAAGCGTTTCTGTCTGACTTCATCTCTGCTGCTCATCTTCATGGAAACATTCTGGGTTTAGTTTCTGTTAAATGACATTGTTGTTCATCTTTGTTTAAAGAGCAAAACTGTAAATTGGCTTCAAGTATGAAAATAAAGAGTAAACTGTTCCAGAGTGTCTGTGTTACTGGGAGAACTGGTAATCATCTGACCTTGGCAGCAGCGTACTCCACAGAGCCGTCGTCCTCCATCGAACATTTCTGCACTTTCTCCAAGAAGTTCTGGTCGTACGGTCCGTCTATCTGGAGGCCAGTCCTGGCGCAGACAGACAGAGACGTCAGAGTCCAGGTCTACCTATAGGGACAGGTTTTCCTTCTGGTTCCGGTTGGCCGGGTTCTACCTGTCCTTGGGGAAGTCCTGCAGGTGTTGCTCCACTCGGCAGTACAGAGGATAAAGCCCTTCGATGTCCAACGAGTCCAACATCTGAGTCTGAAGGATTCTGGACAAAATGCTGTTGGTGGGTAAACCTTGAGATCCTGCATCACAGAGGGACGAGTTCATTAAATCAACCTGGAAATGGTTCTGGTTTCAGGTCCGGTTCCAGAGAATTTCATCAGGAAGTCTGCTCCTCTGTTATCTGTAACATCAGGACCTGAAAGATGCTGCAGAACCAAAACCTTTGGAGGAACCAAACTAAAATCTGTTTCAAACGCCTCAGACCAGAACCGGAGGTTCTGTGGTTGAGCTTGTCCCAAAGTGCATCAGGTTTTAACTTCAAATTACTTAACAGCTTCCAGTAACACTTAGTTTATGTGTTTCTGTTCCATAAAAACAACCAAAGAATTTTTCTTGTTTCATGCAGCCTTTTAATAAAATCCTTCTAGTGTGGGTCAAAGGTCACCTGCATATGAATGTTTCAGTCTGTATTTTCAGTTTTTATTATGGACTTATGAACCATATCATCAGACTTTCAAAAGTCCTGATTTTCTGCGTTTTTGTTTTCTCAGTCTTGAAGCTGTTGTCCAGAATTCCATTTTGTTTCCTCATATGTTGTTTATTCATTTTTTTGATACTTCACTATTCAATACTTTTCTTTCTTAGTCGTTAAATTGCATTATTGGTGTAAAGTTGAGTTATTTTGCTAATAAACTGTCAGAGAATGGTTTGTGTTTATTGTGGTTTCTGTGTGAGGAGGTTCTGCTGTCTAGCAAAAATTACATTTATTCCTTCATGAGAGGCTCGTATGTTTACCTAATGATTCCAGGGAGTCTG